AAATAACCGTCCAGTTTTTAAAAAACTAAATTATCTCGGTGGGTTTACCGTGGCCGCGGTTTCAGCGCGGTGACCCTTACCAGCCACCGTCGCTTCAGCTGAAGTTCCCGCGGCGCGCACACGCACTTTTTAGTTTGCAACGGCACCAAAACTTTGAAGCTGAAATAATGGCCGAAGGAGGAGACGGCAGCGCCCAGGACATCCATCAGCCCTCAAAGAAGACTAAATCGGAAGTATGGGCATATTTTGGATTTCTGAAAAACGCTGAGGGACAGTTAAAAGAAGACTGCTATCCCGTTTGCAGAACGTGCAGGAAACAAGTGTCTGCAAAAAGCAGCAACACTTCGAATCTAATGGCACATCTGCGTGACCATCACCCACGTCTCCACAGCCAGTGCAAGGTAAGTTAACATTAACATTTTAGCTTAAATGCATGACGTGAGGACTTTTGGTTGAGGGAGAATGCAACGAGTCACTATATACTGCAGCCGCAGCGTCCTCTGCCAGCATTTAAACCGTGTCACGGACACCCCGTTGCTGGATGAAGCATCTTATTTGTTGATGATTAAGAGAAATATACAATTAGTTCCTTGTCATTGATTTGTTTACTTATTCAATGCCATTTATACTTGAACATTTGGATTTGATTACATAGTGTAGTAGTTATTTTAGTAATTTGTTTAAAGTGGCTGTTTGTTTTAAATACATATTTTTTTAAGGTTGACTTGTACAGTGCTCAAGTCAAGTGTGGACTGGAGTTTTAGATTTTCATTTTGATAAAGAAGAAAACAAGTATATGAGAAAACAAGTGGTGTTTCTTTGATTTGTTTACATATTGTTTATGTTTTGAATGTTTGGATTTGTATAATTTAAACCTGCACTGACTACTGTAACATGTTCCAGAAAAATAAGCTATTTGTTCCTTTACTTGTGAAAAGTTGCACTTTTGCTAAGGCTTTGTGTTATTTTAGGTTTAATAAACACTGTTAAACCTTTTCAAAACTATTTCAGTTTGTGTAGAACAGGACTTTCAATGCTTTCTGAACATATGCAACACCGTTTAAAAAAATACCGCGATAATACCGAAAACCGTGATAATTTTGGTCACAATAACCGTGAGGTTAAATTTTCATACCGTGACAACCCTAGGAGAGAGCGCCGACCTCTGGACAGGAGAGAGCGCCGACCTCTGGACAGGAGAGAGCGCAGACCTCTGGACAGGAGAGAGCGTCGACCTCTGGACAGGAGAGAGCGTCGACCTCTGGACTGGAGAGAGCATCCTCAGACGAGGCAACTTCAGACGAGCCGACTTCGGAGGAGGAGGTGACGTTATCGGACGAGCCGACGTCAGAGGCGGCGACTTCAGAGGCGACGTCGTCAGACGAGCCGACTTCAGACGAGCCGACTTGGGAGGCGACGTCGTCAGACGAGCCGACTTCAGACGAGTCGACTTGGGAGGCGACGTCGTCAGACGAGCCGACTTCAGACGAGCCGACTTGGGAGGCGACGTCGTCAGACGAGCCGACTTCAGACGAGCCGACTTGGGAGGCGACGTCGTCAGACGAGCCGACTTCAGACGAGCCGACTTGGGAGGCGACGTCGTCAGGGGAGGCGACGTCAGACGAGCCGACTTGGGAGGCGACGTCGTCAGGGGAGGCGACGTCAGACGAGCCGACTTGGGAGGCGACGTCGTCAGGGGAGGCGACGTCGTCAGACGAGCCGACTTGGGAGGCGACGTCGTCAGACGAGCCGACTTGGGAGGCGACGTCGTCAGACGAGCAGACTTGGGAGGCGACATCGTCAGACGAGCAGACTTGGGAGGCGACGTCGTCAGACGAGCAGACTTGGGAGGCGACGTCGTCAGACGAGCAGACTTGGGAGGCGACGTCGTCAGACGAGCAGACTTGGGAGGCGGCGACGTCATCAGACGAGCCGACTTCAGAGGAGACGTCATCAGACGAGCCGACTTCAGAGGAGACGTCATCAGACGAGCCGACTTCAGAGGAGACGTCATCAGACGAGCCGACTTCAGAGGAGACGTCATCAGACGAGCCGACTTCAGAGGAGACGTCATCATCAGGACAGGAACGGGCGTCGACTTCAGGACAGGAACGGGCGTCGACTTCTGGACAGGAACGGGCGTCGACTTCTGGACAGGAACGGGCGTCGACTTCTGGCCCGGGGGCGTCGACCCTTGAACTGGAGGAGGCGTTGACCCCCATCGACTTCTGGTCCGGGGGCGTCGATTCCTGGTCTGGAGGCGTCGACTTCTGGTCCATCGACTTCCGAACCGTCAACCCCTGGACCGTTGACCCCTGGACCGTCAACCTCTGGTCCGGAACCGGAACCATCTGCTTCGGGGTCAGAACCGTCTGCTTCTGGGCCGGAACCGGAACCGTCTGCTTCTGGGCCAGAACCGGAACCATCTGCTTCTGGGCCCGAACCTTCTGCTTCTGGGCCGGGACCGCCTGCTTCTGGACCGGTATCATCAGCTTCTGGGCTGGAGGCAGAGCTGCTGCAGGAGGAGCTGCCTGGCCAGGCTGGACCAGAGGCGGTGCGACCTCCGGGACCACCGCTGGAGCTGGCTGCGACAGAGCAGGTGGTGCTGAGAACTGTGAAAGCAGGGAGGACAGACCGTCCAGCTGATGCTCCTTAAGGCTGAGGGTCCAATGGAGCTGGGCCAGCTTAGCCCGGAGATCGGCGAGCTCCGCTGGGTGAACACCGGGCTCGCTAGTCTGGTCCTGAGATGAGGAGGATAGAGCGTCCAGGCGGGATTCCTGGAAGCTGATGAGCTGGCGGAACTGGCCAAGCTCCGCCTGGAGACTGACGAGCTCAGTCAGCTGGGCTGCGGCCAACGCTCCTCCCTCAGCAGATGACGGAGGCGCTGATTGGGTCGGAGCCGGAACTGCTGGTCTGGCCGGGGGCTTGTCCAAACTGCTGCGCAGAGCAGGGGCAGCGGCGGGCACACAGCTCCGTCCCGGAACACAGGACTGCGGGGGAGCCCGGCGTCTCTCCCCATGCCGTGGACCAACGCCGGGGGAGCACACAGCCAGACGGGTGCCCACGTAACTGGAGTGATCCGAACGCGTCTCTCGATCCGGTCTCTCATCAGGCGCTGGGAGGGTGGAGAGGAAGGCCGAGGGTGCACGCCGGCGCCATTGTCCGCGGCGAGGCGGAGCTGGAGCTGGAGAAGCCGGGTGGTGGCTTGGAGCGTGCCACTGGAGCAGGTACTCCCTCGGGAGAATCTCCCCGCTGGTTCCTTCAATTGGTTGCTTCATTCTGTCAGGGTGCGCTGGTGAGTGGAGCGGAGGTGAGGATCCAAATGCAGGGGAGAAAGCAGGCAGGCAGACAAACTGGACAACTGAAAGGGTTTTAATGATTCACGCACGCAGGACATGGAAACAATGAAGCAACAAGAGACAAAGGACTGGAGGGGTTTAAATACAGGAGGGCTGTGAGCTTGGGTGATTGGGAAACAAGAGGCAGGTGGGAGCAATCAACAGGGACACAGGCTGAACCAAATGGAGGGACAGGACAGGGTGTGACATATATATTATTTTTCATAAGCTTGCATTTGGTGCCCCTTCCCCGGCGGGGTGCCCTACGCGCTGTGCGTGGTGTGCGTGTGCGGAGCGCCGGCGCTGTTGTGAACTTCCTGAATGGTGTTAGTGTTTTCTCCAGCTGCTGCTCAAACCTAAATCCTGCATTCCAGGTTAAAGCTGCAACACCAAATTTGCCTCTTAACAATTTTCTAACATAGAAAAGCAATAAATATTTAGCAATAAACATTATCTCACATGTGTCTAAAAACCTCAACCAACAACACGTTTTGGACTGAAAACCGTTGGACCATTCAATTGTTGGTCTCACAGAACCGCTGGACTTCCCTGGGTCCTCCACTCATCACACACTCATGTATTTAGCAACAGAACACCACTGGTGTGAGAGATTCTCCGCTCAATAATACCAGAGAAGGAGAAACTGCCAGCTGCTACCACTCCAACTTTAGGACAAACTACCAGAGTCCTAAAAAGAAAAACACTGTTTGAAGTCACGGACAACAAAAGACGTTTGGTCCTTGAAAATGGTGTTTAGCGCGTTCCCGTTTACTCTGCAGGTTTCCAGTTCTGGCAGAAGTGTCTCAGGTAAGATACCTGAGGGGAGGGGTGAGCGTTCCATGACCATGTTTGTGTTACAAACCTAGCTTGTTCTGCAGATTTGCTACAGCAGCTTTAAATGGAGACTCTAAATTGTCCCCAGGTGTGAGTCAACGGTCTGTCTCTTTGTGTCCAAGCAACAGACTGAAGACTTGTTGGGACAGCAGTAGCTCAGGAGGTTGAGCGGGTTGTCCAATAATCAGAAGGTTGCAGGTTCGATCCCGGCTCCAGACAGAGAATTCTGCTGTTGTGTCCTTGGGCAAGACACTTAACCCACCTTGCCTGCTGGTGGTGGTCGGCAGCCTCGCCTCTGTCAATGCGCCCCAGGGCAGCTGTGGCTACATCGTAGCTCATCACCATCAGTGTGTGAATGTGTGTGACTAGATGAATGATACATTGTAGTGTAAAGCGCTTTAGTCCTTACTCTGAGAGGCGCTATACAAGTGCAGGGCATTTATCATTTGTTCAGGGTGTCCCCCAGCTCTAAGCCATGTGGCTGCTGGAGTCAGACACCATCTCTCAGATACCCTACTCAGGAATAAGCTGCATGAAAAAAAAATCAATTATAAAACTTTTAATGACGTAAAAGTATTGATGTTATTCTTTTCTAGAATTCAAACTTCTTGAAGCTCAGTTTAGGTACTTAGGAACAACCTTCAACCCCTGTGTGTGTGTGTGTGTGTGTGTGTGTGTGTGTGTGTGTGTGTGTGTGTGTGTGTGTGTGTGTGTGTGTGTGTGTGTGTGTGTGTGTGTGTGTGTGTTTGTTTCGGGGGGGGGGGGGTGTGTTTGTGTGCATGTGTCGGGTGGTGTGTGTGTTGGCGTGTCCCATCATGTATGTGCTCTCTGTGTGTGTGTGTGTGTGTGTGTGTGTGTGTGTGTGTGTGTGTGTGTGTGTGTGTGTGTGTGTGTGTGTGTGTGTGTGTGTGTGTGTGTGTGTGTGTGTGTGTGTGTTGGCATGTCCCATCATGTATGTGCTCTAATCAGTAGTCAGGTTGGGATTGTGGTCCCAGCACAATAGACCCTGCTGCGCCTCAAGAGAGACAGCAGCGAGTCATGAATGAATGAAAACCACCAATGTTTACCGGAGGCGTGTTCATGAAAGAAGCGCACCTCCAGGGTCATCGACACTCAGTTGGAGCCGCGCGTAAAATCTAGAGAAAGAAAATGTTGTCAAGCGTGGTGGCTCCGATTGCGCTCCTCCAGATGTGGGTTTTGTGCGCGTTGGCCTTCTCCAACGTCTCACTGGACAACGAGGTGCGCTCCAGCTTCCTTCAGAGGCGACTGAGGAACCTGGAGCGCAGGGAGATCCAGCGGGAAATCCTCTCCATCCTGGGGTTGCCGCAGCGCCCGCGACCGCTCACCAAGCAGCCCGCTGCTCCGGTGTTCATGCTGGATCTGTACCACACCGTCTCCACGGACGCGGAGCCGCCCGGACACTCCTATTACAAGCCGGTGTTACAGACCCCGGTCTCGGCTGTGGTGTCCCTGCAGGACAGCCACTTCCTGGAAGACGCGGACACCGTGATGAGCTTTGCCAACCTCAGTAAGTTTCGTCTTGCTCATGTTCTGCAAATGAAAAAGAAACTCATCAAATGATGATGAGCGGGAGAAAGCATGAAAGTGGGAATTTTTTGGAGATAACTGAGGAACTAGAGATCTTAAGGAGAACTTTACTAATGCAGATGGTGGGCAGAAGCAGCAGTTAGTGTGAAAACCCCTAATTAAATGCAAACATCGGTTGTGCACTTCCAGAAATCTAATTCAACTCCAAAGTCAGATACGCAGAGAGGTGTTCTCAATTCCACCAGCAAATTATCCAATCAGGTGGAGTTTATCAGATAACCCAGAGTAAAGCCTACATCTTCAATCAAACAGAATAGCCAAGCAAAACAGGAACCAGGATAAAAACCTCAGAGGGACAAATACAGAGACAGGTGAGATGATCAGGTAATGATGTCCTCAGAGCTGCAGGAGACTTTGAAAGAGTGCTAATCTTTCAGATTTGACTGAATTAAAAATTGCCATTCTGTCTTTGTGAAAAGTCACAAAGTCAGATTATTGTGACTTTTCGGGTCCCTTTGGTCACAACAGGTCATGCATTATGCATTTGCAGTGGAGCTGTAAATGTTATGACAACATGCTTGTATCTGATTTCCTTGACATTCATTTAAAGCTCCTGGGAGGGGGGCTTTGTTTGGTAAAACCAGGAACTGAAAAGGCCCTTCTGGACCCCCCGGGGAGGCAGAGACATGACCAGGACAGACATGTTGTTGCTGCAGTGACATTTGCAGGTGCATTCTTATTTGTCTTCATGGCTGCAGCATGATGATGGTTGGGGACAACAGAGGCTCTAACACCAGGTGATATTTTGTTTTCGTTGCGTTCAGAGCCTTGCTGCGTGAGTTTGTTTCCTGTCTTTTATTTTAACTCGCTGGGATTTATCTGAAATCTGCAGCATTTCTGAGCATTTGGACTTTTTCCCTTCCAGTCAGCACGTAAACCTGCTGTTAATATGAAACATTTGGACTCTGTCAGAACATCTCATGTCACGTTGCCGCTCGTGAACTTTTCACCAACAGCCTTAATGAGAACTGGAAGCACGTTTTTAAAAATCAGAGGCAGATTTATGTGGTTTCATATTTGAGAAGTTTGAATACACAGAGGAGGAGAAAAAAGACCCAGAGTGTGTGCGCTCTTCCTCTTTCATCCCCACAATGGCTCACTGTGACTGGCAGAATTTTTCTGTTTTTATTTTTTCAGGGGTGTTGCTTCCACTTTTTGCCAGAGCGACTTTTTCTTGGTGGTCTTCTAACAATCGTGTCAAGACCAAACCGGACTGTAGCCTTTCCCTTCCGAGGACCACAGCTTCCACACTTGTTGGGTTTCATTTGACTGTTTTACTGAAAATAACTCTTGAGAAGCTTGAAGTCTGGCATCAAAGTGACTCTGAGACCTTGGACAGGAAGAGGAGTTACCTGCACCATCAGTTGCCAGTGTCTCATTAGGGTCCCCATCGTGGTGACCGTGGCAACTATCAAACTGATAACTGTGCACCTGTGAAACACAAACACACTTTTGTATCATATCTAAAATAAAAGCATCTAAAACATTTAAAAGCATTTAAGAAATTAATCAGAAACCTATTAAAATGTAGGCGGGACCAGCAGACAAGCAGCAACCGCCCCTTACCGCCTGTCAGTGTGAATAAAAGCCAGTGAATAAAAGTGTGTCTTCAGCTGGCTCTTAAAGGTCTTGGCCCCAACACTGAAACAGCACAACTCCGTGTTGATCTGTGTCTGTGCTTGGGCACCACCAACAATCCCTGCTCCGACGCCTGAAGGGACCTCGATGGGATGTAAAGGTGAATCATTCAGGTGAAAATGTTACTGAAAAGGTTTCCAAAAATCATAAAACTTACATTGCAAATGTGTAAAAGTCACAAAAGATCTGAAAATGTCAACTCAGTCATGCAAATGTCCAGATCAAACTCTGAATACTGCTAAGTCCGTGTGAGGCGTACAACTCCAAATGACCATCATTTCTGTTTGGTGTGGAAATTGAATTTCTTCTTCACCAAAAGTCACGGCGTACTATTCCAGATCAAACTGCATATTTATTTTTATGAGATTTTTTTTTAAAGCTGCAGGAGGAAATCTGCCTCAATGATCTTACGGTAGAGGGAGGGGCGATGTCATTGAAGAACAGAGGAATTTTTACATTTTGTGCCAAAGAAGAAAGAAAAGGGCTCTTCTTTTCTAAACCGATGATGCTGGAAAATCTCATTATCCCGCTTCTTTAGCCGCGCTTTCACGTGCAAAATAATTGCTGCTTTTGCCCTCTTCCATTTTATTTGTTTTGCTTTATTATTGTCGAGCTTGCCAGAACATTCAGATCGTCTCAGAGTTGTACTGACCTTAACAGAAACCAATCAGTTACGTTTTCACAATGACACAATTCAACAGCGGTGGCGTTTTGTGTTTTTAGTAACACAGCTTCTGACCCCCCACGTAGACCTTCTGGAAAAGAAACATTTACTATAAAACTGCTATAGGTTAATGAAAGCTGTGTGGTTGTGTGGCCCTGCAGCATCAGGAGCAGTCCTGAGTGTTGAAACTTCTCCCAGAGGGAAGTTTGCATATCTGAGGTCTGATCTCTGCAGCTAATGGTCCCTAACATAAACACTCCAAGTCCTTACAAGCAATTATTGCTTTCATAAAATCAGCCCTCGCTCTCTTCCAGCATTTAATTGCGGTCAAACAAATGACTTGCAGGGTCCAGAATGCAATGCTCTCAATGCTAGGGGCATGTGTGTGTGTTTATGTCGTTAAAAGTGTTTTTAGAGAACTGTGAGTCATTGTGCTTAAAGCTCCGTGGTGCCATAAAAACTTTCTGCATGTTAGCGTCAGGGCCCGTGAAGATGGGTGGCTATGCTCTGAAACATTTGTGATCTGTCGGGGTGATGTGGTGTGTGTGTGTGTGTGTGTGTGTGTGTGTGTGTGTGTGTGTGTGTGTGTGTGTGTGTGTGTGCACGCTAACAGGTTGGGTTTAAGGTGGCTAGTCAATGCACCTCTATGGGGTGCCGATTGTAACAGTATTATACTGAAAATGTATCTGTAACATTTTGCCACACACAGCATTCAATCTAAATATAGTTAAACCTAAATGTTAAACATCAATTAGAAATATTTAAACGTCTGTCTGAGTCGTTAAAATCATAGCTAAATATATCAGATTACATCAACATTTTGAAATCTTAACACGGAAGTTTTAAACCCAACTTTATGCTGAAACGTTTTTCAAATTATGATTTATTTTTATTGTGCTTGTGGAACACATTATTTTGATCTTGAAAGGTGCCATACAAAACAAAAAAATTTACTTTTACATGTGAATTCAGATTAAAAGTATGATACAGAGATCTCCCGTCCAAGGTCTCAGAGTCACTTTGATGGCATTTGTGTATAGAGCTCTGGACGTCACGTGACTCTCAGAGAGTAGACGCCATGTTGGCAGGCAAAAGTAAACAAAATTAACGGGATCGGCTTGGATTTTACTCCATCAGAGTTTACTTCACACTTTAGAACCAAAGAAATCATTTTATGTAGTCAGAAATTAAATAGACTAAACATCTCCGACCCTTACCACGCCCCTAAGATACTTTTTAAAACGCCAGAAGCTGTCGGAGCGGACCTCTTACTGAATTTGAGATATCCTGACATTTATAATTTCCTTGTTTATTTTCCTTCGTCCTACCCCGGAGCATCGCTAAGAGCATATAAAAGCCTGGAGGGATACAAATGGACTCAATCAGGGTTTGTTGTCAGTATCCAGATCTGGATTCTTCCTGCAAAGGACAACGCTGTTGTCACTGGGAGGGTAAGTGGAGATTTTTGTAACAAAAACAGCCTTGCAACACCGTCTGTGTGATCTGACAATTGATCAACCATTGCTTAAAAATGAAATACAGCTTAGCCGGTTAATTGCTGTCATCATAAAACACGTAAACGGCAGCACGCAGAACTCACGAGGCAACGTTTTACGTGATATTTACTTGTTGATAGGAGTAATAAGACAGAAAAAGCCACGCCAAAATAAGTTTAGGAAGCCCACCAAGAATCGTAATAAAAGCATTTAAAATAAACACCATACACAGTTGAGGAAACGTTGGTTTAAGTACCTGATATGAAGTGGTTGCTGTGTAAGCGAAAACCTTTACTCTCGGGATCCCACAGTTTCATTTCAGCCCGATCACTAGCACGTTTCATTGCGATGATCCAACGTTTGCGGCACTCCGGATCTTGGGGAATTCTGCAACAGACTCTACCCTTATCTCGTTCGCGTCTGTTCTGGCATCCTGGGGCACAACAGGAATCTACCATATTTCCCGTTTGATTGAGTTTTCTGACAATAACAAATAGCCTAGCAGTGGGCTTCTGCCTGCCAAGATGGCGCCGTTCGATTTGAACTGTTGCATGCCGGGAGAAGTGACGTCAACTCCAGGAGCTCTATTCCTATACAGTAATCATGAGTTATTTATTGACGTGCCATGAAAATCTAGACAAAAACATTGATAAATGTTTTTACGAATTCCTAATCTTCCCATTAAAATGACTTTGTTAGGGAATCTTTTAATCATGGATTTATTCAGGTGGATATGTCACTTCTACAGAAGTCTAAATTTACAAAGTAGCAAATTATTTATTTAGAAAATGACACATTCATATTTGGATTTCAACATTTTAGTGTAAGTTGAAATATTTAATTTTGATTTTAAATAGTTAGGATTATATTTAATACTATTGCTTTTTGAATATTCATTTCTAAAATTATTTGAACTTTAAACATTTCTAAAACAAATAAAGTGAAATAGTGACTTAAAAAAAGTTCTAGTCCATTTTTATTGCCACATAAACTTTTGCAGCTGTTCTTTTTTATCACAATTTTTTTATGTCTTACTTTACAATCAGCTCCTCGTATGATGCTTCTTCTTGGAGCGAGCAAGTTGAGCAGCGCCACAAAAATGGACATCTGGACAGAAATATTTGAAGTTTTTTCAACCAAAAATTTTCTGAAAATTCTGAGCTCCCGGTGTCACCACCAGTTTCATGTTGGAGATCACAGGATGGTGATGCATTGCAACATTATCATGGAGCTGTTGTGGATGCAGACTCATAAAGACACTCATAAATGTGTGTATTTTTTATACTCTGTGTGTTTGCTTAAGTGCACTTGCTGCTGTGGTTTTGCAGGCTGTGCCCCTTACTGGCATTTTTTGTGGTCATCACATGTGTGCAGTTTGAAACAGTAGCCAATGTAAACCAGCCAGGAGCGTTTAAACTTTCATACGTTGCAGACTTGACTTAAATAATAAATAGATTTTTTTTTCTATTTCTAACAAAGTTATTAATCTGGGTGGCGGAACACACTTCTGATAAAAGCTACAGCTACTACAGTATTCTCAGATAATGCAGCAAGTTTGATAGATTTTTGTCATCTGAATTATCTTAGAAATGGTCTCTAAAAACGTCTCCTATTTCTGGGGTTGGATCAGTAACATCTTATCATCTTCCTTCTAGTTGATCGGGATCAGGATTTTCTGTTCCAGCCGCACTCACAAGAGTTTCAGTTTGATATTTCCCGTATTCCAGAGGGGGGAGCTATCACAGCAGCAGAGTTCAGGATCTACAAGGTTTTCATTCAGGAGCGGATCCAGAATGAAACCTTCAGAGTCTGCGTCTGTCAGGTCCTTCAGAAGACCTCAAACAGGTAAACATATCTTCCATACTGTGTCTTGTTTATTTTGATGCTCACCAAGTTTTTCTTTTGTTGATCTGACCCCTAATAATTTTCCAAGTCACTATCCAAGTCATGTGAATCCCTGCTTGTTTCCCTGCTTAGTGTGATTACTATCTAGACTGGTGTGGTTGAGCTGCGCACATTTTCCCCCATATGACATTTTATGTTTCGTGACTGTCAGCCCTGGTGCTGTTTTCACAGACGTTTGAGTTAATTGCAGAAACACCAACGTCTCGCTGAGCTGTTGACTCTGACACATTCAGAACCGATCTGTTCTCAGGAGACCTGCAATTTTATCGCACAGCCCACAGCTCACATACCCCAGACCCCCCGCTATGTCACGCTAACATTTACACATGTGGTTTTACGTCTGTGGGGTTTTCAGATCGTCTCAAGCTGTGTTTTGTTTGCCAACTTTGATTTTCCTTTCTCGCTGTTTTTGTATAATTACAACTTAACTGAGACTTCTTTTGTTTTGGGGTTGTTGCTTCATTTCCCACAAACAGACAAAGTCAACCGAAGTTAAAGTTTTCGTTGTTCAGATTTGTGTTGACATGGATGTAAAAGGAAATGTTTCTAACAAAGCTTCCATCTTTATCCTCTTAGCTGAAGGAATCAGTAAAAGCTAATGTAATAAAAAGGTGTTTGCTTCAGTAAACAAACAAAAATTACTGCTGACGAAAGGCAAAGATTGAGCTGTGGAAATTAACAATTAATATCTGCTGCAGAAAGCACTTTGGAAAAGCTCCATTTGGAGAAACAGATATGAGTGACAGGCTAATGGCTAGTTACACTGGAAACACCCAAAGGTGAATTTCTGCTGTCTTACCTGGGCTTTCAACCAGATACATAAGTGGCACAAAATGTTGTAGATACATTTTCCTTGCAAGCTCAAAGGTGCTTCCCTCTCCACCGGAAGCCTTTCAGACACAAATCACCAGCTGGTCCCATGAGGTCACAAAATCACCCGTGAGGTCGTGAGGTCAGAAAATCACCCATGAGATCACAAAATCACCCGTGAGGTCAGTTCATTAAGCCAATCAGTAAAAAGTTTCTTATATAAGGAACCCAGCAGGTTGCATCGAGTCACTGACTAGTGTCAAGAGTCTTTACAGCAATCTTCATACTAAGCAAGCATGCAGCGACAGTGGAGAGGAAAACTCCCTTTTAACAGGAAGAAGAAACCTGCAGAGGTTCCTGGCTCAGTATAAGCAGCCTTCTGCCATGACTCACACACACACACACACACACACACACACACACACACACACACACACACACACACACACACACACACACACACACACACACACACACACACACACACACACACACACACTGTTCCCATAGTTACATTGTGATTTCTCAGTAAATATTCTATTTGGCGAGAGATAAACTTTATTGTATTTATCCTGGTGAATCTATAATTAAACGGGTAAACTAGTAGTAGCACATTCAATGTTACAGAGTGTAAAATGTTATTATCAGGAGAGGGAGAATGTTTAAGTGGTTAGCAGCGGTGTGCTAGCCAATCAATGATGTGTTATGGGTAATGGTGTATTTTTTTTAGTTAAGAAGTGTTTTTTATATCACTTTTTACAGACACAAGTCATAAAGTGCTTCATAAACCAAGTTAATTTAAGCAACTGGAAAACTGCATGTGTCTTTTATTTTGAAAGTTACCAAATATTTACACTGCTCTAGTACTGGGCTTCCTGTCTGTTCCAATCTGAAGTGGTGAGCTTGATGCGTTCTGGAAGCGTGCATATAAATAGACCTGAAACATACATTTAGTGGAGCAACGCAAACAGCAGCCACTTATCTGAGCATCATTAGTAAACCTTTAGTAACACGTCACATTTGCAAATCTGCACGTGTGGCTAAAAATGCAGTCAGGGCAGAACTAACCTTCTCTAGGGTTGCAAATGGCCTTCGGGCCACAGTTTGGACACCCTTGGAATGTCTCTTCTGTTTGGGAAAAGAGAGCTCTAACCAGATTAGGGAGCTACCAGCATGTCACAGCAGGATCTGAGACTAAGTAGAATACTGCTTCTTTGCTCCTAAACTGTTCGTAGCAGCTTAATTTCACGCTATTAATGAAATTAAAATAGTTAACCAGGTATAAACCTCATGAAACTCCGAACATGCACTCAGAACTGCAGGTGGTACAGAACGCTAGCTCAGATGCTAATTTTAAACTGAAACCACGTTATTTAGGATTAAACCGATTAATGCAATAAATGTTTTACTGGATAACTTTAGGAACATTTTACTATTAAGAATTTATTTGTTTCTGTTTTTGTTTAATGGTAATTTGTACAAAGCTCCATTGGTCCTAACCCACTGCTGTTGCTGATTTTTGAGCATTATCCAATAAACTTAACAAAGCACAGCAAACAAACAAGTTAGTGTGTCAATTTTAGCAAAGATTCAAAGATTCTTTTCTACTAAAAATAGTTACTTTCATTAATTTGTTGTGCTTCGTGTATTACTGAGTAGGTAAAATAATAAAAGAAAATTCACAGCAAAATCATTTTAACCCTCTCAGGCTCAAAATGAGTTTTGATAAAAGGACGAACAACTAAGTCCTTCAGGGGTACTTCTGAGTTAAAAGATCCTCATGAAACATGGATGTGGTGTAACCAGGTAGGTAGGTTTTAACGTTGCAAATCTGCAACGCCTGCCTCCAGAGGGTTAAGAAGTATTTAAAAGTCTTTTGTCTCTTTACTAATTTCAAAGTCAAAACAACTGATTTAACCTTAATTTTTTACATCGTAAATAAAGTTTAGAAAAGACACGTATTAGGTTCCGATGGTTCAGGGGCTCTGATTTCTGGTTTAAACTCTCAGCGTGAATCTTGAAAAGATTCATTTGCACACTAAAAGGAACCGTGTGGTGCCAGCAGCTCTGGATGCTGGTGTCTGATGTGGAGCAGCGAGGCTGACGACGGCGGTAAAGATAAGACCATTGTAATGCACAGGCCATAGACGATCAGGCAGCAGGGCCAGACGCAGAGGCCTTGGATGTCTAATGGGGCCATTGTTTTTAAATTCAGCTGCAAAAGGCAATGGGTGCTTCTTCAGAACTTCACAGCAGCATGAAGGGTCAGAGGATTAACCATCAGATAGAAAATACCTTTAGCAGAGATTTTTAAATTAATAAAAATGTGGTTTAATCAGCGTTAAACCTTTCAAATATGAGTCAGTTGTCCCACAAAACCTCTAATCTGTAATAAACTCAATGCTCAGAGAGGACTCAGTTTCATCTTCATTCCCACATTTGCTCAGTATTTCTCTTTCTGCTTATTGAAATTATTTTATAATTTTAAAATGGATCAAACATCGATCTAGAGTTCCCTGGAGCCCCAGACAGAAGTGGTGCAAAGATCCAAAGCAAGATAAAACAATCTGCTGTAATAATACTTTATCAAGACCACGCATTTGGAGCTGACCAAACGTTTCATCCATTTACCCACCAGACAAATATTTCCCTGAACATTCCTCATTCATTTTTATTCTGCTCAGACTTTTCAAAGTGACATTTACGTTCCCTCTTCACAAACACAAGTAACCCATCACGGTGGAGACTTGGTTGGTGTGTAAAACTGCTTTAGTGATCAGTCCAACATGCATATATCCCTAAATGCTGCTTTGACACGCCTTGAAATTCACTGTGCCTGTTAACATTTGGTCCTCTCCAGTGAAGTGGGGATGTTGCTGCTGGACCAGCGAGACGTTTGGGCTTCAGAAGAAGGATGGCTGGTTTTTGACCTGACCGCTACCAGCACCCTCTGGCTGGTTCGGCCTGAGCAGAACCTGGGTCTGCGCCTGATCCTGGAGGACAGCCACGGTTAGCATCAACCACATGTTGAGCCCAGTTTTATGGTCTCTTCCTTGAGTTATTACTTATCATCCATCAGCTCTTGTAACATAAGTGATGAAAAAAAGCACATCTTAGCCTAATATCTGCTAAACAGATTTAGTTACAGCGGCTATGAATCTGAAGGCTCATCAACTGTAGAACTTTTAAGGACTTTGTGAGAGCTTCAGAGGTTTCTGTTTCTCTGGCTCCCTCTGCAGGCCAGAGGAGGAACCCCCGACTGGCTGGCCTGGTGACAGGCAGAGAACCAAATGACAAGCAGCCCTTTCTTGTCATCTTCTTCAAATCCAAAGAGGTGCGATTTAGAAGCACCCGATCAGCCCACGGCCAAAAGGGGCGCCAGTCGAATCGCTCCAAAGCGCAGAGGTCATCCCAGGATGCTCTGAGGTCAGCGGAGGCTGCAGCAGGTACCTAAAACTGTCGGCATCATCTCGACAAGTCCGGTAGGCTTACCAACTAATCTGCTGTGTGTGAATGATCTGTTTCAGATAACCTTCGGTTCTCTAAAGAGGGCTGCAATAAGCATGAGCTGTATGTCAGTTTTAGAGATTTGGGATGGCAGGTAAAATAAATTTCATTTAGTTGAATGTTTGTTCCAAAGTGACTTTTAACTGTTTTGTTCCTGGTTTTCCTCTGAAAAGGACTGGATTATTGCACCAGAAGGCTACGCTGCATATTACTGCGAGGGAGAGTGTGCGTTCCCTTTAAACTCGTACATGAATGCTACCAATCATGCTATCGTGCAAACTCTGGTAAGCCCCAAACAGTCCCTGGCACTTTCACTGCAGCCCCCACATTTCTTTGAAGAGTTCTCTGTACTTCCTTCTTCCTCCAGGTGCACTTTATCAACCCAGAGACGGTCCCTAAGCCCTGCTGCGCCCCCACGCAGCTCCATGGCATCTCGGTTCTGTACTTCGATGACAGTTCCAACGTCATCCTCAAAAAGTACCGGAACATGGTGGTCCGAGCCTGTGGCTGTCACTAGCTGCTCACTCTTTTGTTGTTACAGGAGTCATGCAAATCTGAAGAGACACTCTAAAGAAAAAGAAGAGAAGAAAATGTGCTTTAACCTGGGGTTGTGTTTTATGATCAGGAGCTAAACGGACCTAAACCACTACTGCAGCCCTGTACGGACTGGGGAAATCTGAGAAGATTTAGCATGGAGGTTAATCCACATGAATGTGTGGGATTATTCCTGGAATTAGCTGCTGGACTCAGATTTGTTTAGACTGATCTCGCTACAAGTGAGATCTTCAGGAGCACCGACACCTCCACAGCAGGGTCCCTACGCTGCAAACCCTCATTTGAGTTACTTTGTTCGATTTTTTAAACACGGATAAAGGTTAAATGGAACATGTGAGGCTTCAGCAGTGGATCATAGATGTGTGTTTTAGATATGTTTATTTTGTAGATGTAACGAGCTGAAGGCAGTATTTACAGTCACTCTTTATTCCTTACATGGTTGCATTTCAGACTAAAAAGTGAATTTATACTTGCATTCACCCACTTGTTATATAATATATTATGTGTTTCATTCAGGGGTTGATTTATTAAATTAATGCTGTGAAGCAAAAGAATCGTTGCATATAGGAACTGAATGAAGATCATGTTAATGGAGCTCACATATGACATTGGAAGCAGCTTGTATTGTAGACCTTTACGTCCAACGTCTCTAAACATGTTCACACAGTCATAGAGCCGCGGGGAAAGTATATCAAATTGTGAGATTTTTTTCCTTCCCATTATTTTTATTCTTTTTTCAATTTTTGAAAAATGTGGGAAATTTTTGAATTTGAGGAGAAAAAGAATGTTTTGAAGAAAGATTTCAAATTGAAAGTTTTCTTTAAGCCCAAAGTGTTCTCGTGTGTGTGTGTGTGTGTGTGTGTGTGTGTGTGTGTGTATGTGTGTGTGTGTGTGTGTGTGTGTGTGTGTGTGTGCGTGCGTGCGTGCGTGTGTGTGTGTGTGTTTGGGGGGTGCTGTGTGGTAGTTGGTGGCTTATCGCCTTCACCAGCCTTCCTTCCTGCTCATAGTCCTTTGCACCAAGACACCCCTCTCTTATCAATTAGCTGCCCGCTGCACTGGTATCAGATTTATATTCTGCTACAAAAATGCCATAAACTGAATTTCCTACTTTATTATGACTTGTTTTTCAACAATATTAGCTAAAAATGACAAAAAGGATAACAAAACTTTGTTTTGACTTTTGGTTTTGGTGCCACCTCAGAGCTATCAGTGACCCCGATCTGGACGCCTCCAGTGTAGAAAGAAAATATGAAAAAAATCAAGCTTGTGTGGTTTGAAGTGAGAAAACAAATTAACATGAAAACAATGCATCACTGAGTAAAGTACGCTGTGCATTTGGGCCAAGAAATTATGTACAAATTCTGTCACAACCACAAAATTGTCTAACGTCTGTCATGTTGGAAGGAAGGTTACATTGAAACAGGTTCTCAGCCTGTTTTTGGGTTTTTCAGATTTTCTCCTTTCAAAAAGGCAGAAGAGGGACTGAGTCTTCGTTTACGATCTGTGAGGTTGCCAGGTCTGCACCAGCTAATGCTGCACTTGTAATTTGGCAACAGCCGGCAAAACGCTGCAGGATTTTCTTAAGAACCGAAGCCACGCTTGGGGCATCAGCGGCATGGAACAGCAGCAGTACGGGTTTTCGATGCGCGCCATTCCACACTGCGAGACGCGCGGCATCTCTGCAGTCCTCCTTGCCGGACTCGCAAAATCACCAAATTCTTTGAGACTTCATCCACCCACAAAAAGAAGAAAAAAGATCACGTCAGTGAAGAAAAACACATGGTTGCACTTCTCTAAAGATACTGGTAGTAAAAAAAAAGCCTTGAGGTCACATGAATAGATGATATCTAAATAGACTAGACCTTTGCAATAGACTTTTATTTTGAAAATTACTGGATGTTTTAAACTGATATCTGGTTTGATTATCTGTCTGGGCCTGTGGTGATTGCAGAAATTGACACATCCCAGTAGCGACTTGTGGCAAAAATAGAACTCAACCCTTTCTTTGGCGGCGCGGCCAGTTTGGATCAACCCAATAGATTATAATGGATTCTATTTGAAGCAGCAATGTTCCGTGCTGCTGACCTGGACATGTGGACCTGGGGTCAGAAGCCTTGCCATCCTTTTGTTTAACTCAGTCTCAGGTAAGATTCAACATAGAGGCTAACATTGAGCTAACAATGCTAATAGTGAATTGGAAATGGAGTTGGCTCAAAAAATTTCTCAAGCTTCTTTTTTACTCACCCACAACTGGACTGAAATGTATTTATCTACTCAGTGTGTATGGCTCGCCTTTGCTTGTCACCTGGCGTTTCTCCATGGCAACAGAAACTGATGGAACAGGAGAGAGAGAGTCCCTCAATTGTTTTGAAAACAGACTGCAGTACCTAAATATGACCACAGGATGTCATTCTTGTTTCATTCTCACATAATGCACCTTTAATTATGAAGCTTCTATGTTTGTTGCTGCGTGACACAATCTGCTGCAAGGTATTTTGCCTGACAAGCTAAGGCCTGGTTAGCTGTTGTTTGCTGAACTTTTTGCTAAATTCAAATTTCTGTTTTGGAATGTAGATTGTAAAACTGTTAACATCACAAATGCTTGAGGTAGAAGAGAAACTCACCTTAGAACCCCCTCTCACTAAAAGATTCATCTTCCATCATGAAAACCTTGTATACAGCAAAAGAGCACTAATGTTTAAATGCAGTGAGAAGACCTGAGGCAGGATTTTAATGTGCTTTTTAAGAAACATAAACCGATACAATCACAACTGCTAGAAGCCACAAGAGCGTTTTCAAGCTACAATGCAAATGTAAATCGCTAAAGCTAAAATATTTCCTTTGAATATCAACTGAGCAGCTCCCTTTTGCAACACGAGTTTACACTTTGGTTCTCTACTCTCTCACTAAACGGTTTTACCATCAGTGACCCTGAGGAGGAAGCTTGGAGCTTTTCTCTTAATGTTTTAAAAGTACAAATCAAGACAACAGTGTAGCACATAGAGCATGATTCAAGAGGTAGAATAACAGCATTCATAAGGTGATTACAGCACAGTTTTAAACTACAGGGGCTGTGCGAAGACTTCTCAGCTTAGGGGGCCGAGTAGTGCCTCCTGCGGACTTCCCCTGACCCCAGTGTCTGTCCCTGGGTGTTCTTCTGGGCCTCATGTTCTCCCTGTGACTTCTTGGGCCAGGTTTTAAGTTCCCGGGAGACCAAAAGTGGACATTGTGGAGCTGAGAATGGCGTTAGGGCCAAGCAAATGTCTCCCACTGTAAGCTGACGGCACTGCAGACCACAGAGACGAGCTGTCCTCTGAGGGCTGCAGGAGGACCAGCCCTGTCCACGAACGAAGAATGGGTACTCCGCATAGACGTCCACCAACTCCTGGAGGATAGAAACACACCACACAGGCATGACGACCAAGGTAATCACTGTAGTTGCATTTTTTTTTACAGTTTTGAGTGAAAAGGATTTAAAATAGTTTGGTTTTGTAAACACTATGAGTACATAAATATGATTTTCAACTTTTTGTCATATTTAAAATGGCTCATCTTTGAATAAAAAAACCCCGAAGCATCTGAAGGCAGCAAGCACTCACGGCTGTCGCTGACTCACTCTGTAAAAAGGATCATTAACAGCTACTTGTGTGAGGGCTGCTGTGAAAAATAGTGGCACAGAGTGATTTCCCTTCACCTGCAACTGCTGATCGTGGAGCAGGATGAGGAGGCGGGAGACAGCGGAGGAGGAGGAGGAGGAGGAGGGTGAGATGTTCTGCACTGTGCAGCAGCTCAGGCGCAGGTCTGGACAGGCCAGTGTGCCCAGCAGAAAGTCCTCTGTCTGCAGGTGCTCTACCCGCCTGAGCCGCCCATCTCCGAGCTCGATCAGAGAGCCTGCCACAAAGTGGGGAAGCAACCAGGGGAAGGAGTTAGGAGGAGTAGAAGGAGAAACTTTTTCAGAGGAAAGGAGTGAAGGGCATCTTGAAGAGCTGCTCAGGTTATCAGGGGAAGCTTTGATGAGGGAATGTCCAGACACAGAGACAGCTTTTATTGATTTGGGTAAATGCTGTGCTGTATGAGGTAGGTATGTGTGTCCATTCTCAGCCCTGTCTCCTCTTCTCGCATATGGACCGTTATGCATGCTAAAAACATGCCTGTCTGGATTCAAACTCTTTTCTTTTAGCATCATAGGCCTCTCCAAACTTCCGCTCCCTCTGTGGAAAGCGCCTGGGACCGAGTAGCCTGCGCTGAATCTGGAGGGGTTGTGGCCTGAGTGGAGCGTCTCAGATAAGTGGGTTAGACGTTGGTAGGGGTGAGGAAAGTCCCATCCTGGTGGCAGGGCATCGAATTCTCTCCACTCTGTCCAACCAGGATGCTCCCTGAAAGCCGAGGCGATGTGCTGTTTGGGTCTGGAGGGCGTTTGTGTCTGCATCCAGGGCTGGTACAGTGCAGGGACCCGTCTTGGTACAGGCCGGAACAAACCTGTGTGTTTGGGCCTGAAATCGCCATGGCTCTTGTAGGGGAATGGAGCCTTGAAATTTGCAGCATCACACAGCTGCTGCTGCTGCTTCTGGTACTGGTGCTGATGCTGGTTCTGCCTTGGTGAGCTCCCTCGTTGGTCTCTCTTTTTAAATGGGAGGTTGTCCCTGTCAAGGACGAGAGCTGGGTTTGCCGTGAAGCTCATTGCCTCACACTGACGGTCATTCACGCTTGCACCGCATGATCTCCCACAGAAGTTGAGCTGGTTTTGAGATCATGTGTCACAGACTCCCTTAGTCTCTTGGCAACCGTAGCAGGTCCAAGGTCATCCTGATCTGAGCAGCAGACAGAAAAAACAACAACAAATTATAATTCCTTTCACCATAATGTCCCTGCAGAGGTTCATCGTAAAACTGTTCTGATTTCTAAGGGTTAACATTTCAGGGTCTCGTTACCGTCATATTCTTTTCAGCAAATGCACAACATATTAAATCTGTGGCACCCCATTTCTGTCCTGCTTTTTTCGGTTATTTCTCTGCTTCAACACAACTGAGTCAGTGGTTGAACGATCTCGTCAGCATGTCTTCATTCTGCAGAGGTCTGATTCAGATCAACCGTGTTGGAGCAGAAAAACTTTAAAAACACAGAGACTAGTTGCCCTTGACAGCCAGGATTGGACTGCACTAAACTGTTAGTCAGCATTTCAGTCCAAAATGCAAAAGGAAACAGGAAAATTAAAATGCAACCTTGCTAGGACATAAAAGAGTGAGCAGCATCCAGGTGCTACTGATCAAATATGAGGATTAAAGCTGGGGTTTTGGTATTTTGTGTGTCTGGAGCCTGTCAATTTGGGAGGGGTTAAATGTTCTTTTGTACATTTATTCCATGTTTATCTTCATTATCCATTTGCTAGTTCTAATTTTTAGAGGATGATCCTCTGCTGCCCGCTGATTAAAGGAAGTGATGCCACCAACACCGGCAATCTCTGATGATGGCTAGATTGACTAGCTGAAATATGTCAGGTAAAAAAAGTCTTTTTACTAAACTGTGTAAAGAAAATGGGCTTAAATGTTGTTTCCCAAGAAGCAGGAGAGAAAGATCATTTACAGTAGACATTGCAACAAGTTCAGCCCAAGTTCAGACGGTAAAATGTTGAGAGAAACCGTTAAAATCCTCCAGATCTGAGGCTCTTTGTGCTTCAGGAAGCAGGTTAAAGGTTAAAAACAGGAGTAACCTGTGAGGAATGCAGGAGGAAACTATTATCAGAAATATAAAGGGCAGCAAAATTTCTTCTGAACGAACCACAAAACTTCTGGAAAAATGTCCTTTGGACACACCAAACCAAAGGGTAGAGGTTTGCATGGCGGTGGAAGGCTGATGGTTGGGGCACGTTGCAGCGATAGAGCTGAAGGATTTTCTGGTCAAACGCGAGTCCATCTGTCTGAACGCTGAAGCTTAGCCTTAACCAGGTCACAAACCCAGAACCAGATCTACCACAGGTCCTGTCTAGACCTCCACTTGAATGAAACAGTATCACTGGACTTTCAAAAAGACGTGCACAATGCAAGCATTAATGAACTGAAGCAACATTAAGATGAGATGATAAAACGTTTAGAAAAGAATTAACTAAAAGTGACATTCATAAATTATTCTGTGCATTACATAAACACAATGCTAAATAATCTGTGGTTTTTCTGAGGCTTGTAGAGCCGATGAAGACCAAATCATCGTAGAACTCATTGAACTCATGAATCAATTTCCCTCTGGGATTAATAAAGTATTTTTGAACTGAATTGGATTGAACTAGGATTCACAGCAGACTATTAGCTGTATTTTCCCTCTCATCAGAGTTTTTGAAGATTTTTCTGTTCCCGTCACAAAGTGCCACATGGTTAGATCGCTGCCTTCGTATCCCCCCGACATCTGAACAATAACTTCACCATCAGCACCAAATTACTGCTTTCCGACCACCGTTCGTTGTACTGACTTTTTTTTTGATGGGCATCTACTAACTCCTTTGTAAGTTGCCATGGTAACAAAGTGCTACGCAGTGTGGTTGTTGAAGGAATGAGTGTGGTGAGAACAAGGCAGAGTAATATGTTGGTGGTGGGTGTGAAGTTAGAGGTCAGATTTGAACATTTTTCGCATCTCTTGAGGTCAGTGAGGACTTTCAGTGAAGTTTTTGTAGCAACAGTTTCCATTAGGGAAGCACAAAAAAGGTGTGTTGCATGAACACACGTCAGTAAACACACACACACACACACACACACACACACACACACACACACACACACACACACACACACACACACACACACACACACACACACACACACACACACATACACACACACACACTGAAACCCCCATCATCTCTCTGCTCGGAGCTGGATGCACGTTGCCACCTTGTGGCTGGATCCACGGCAGCGGCTGAATACTGAGTTATGTAAAGCTGATGGACCCTCTGACTGGACCTCTTTCACTACCAGGACTCAGATATGAGCTCCTCCAGAGATATTTCACATACGAGTGTTTGTCAGCGTCCAGTTTGGATGTAAATGCATTCAAATGATGCAGCTGTACAGAGACCTGCTCAGGAATGGTCAGGTCAGAACTTGGACTTGTGATGTCACACGCTCCCTCAGCCTTGGTGACCATAAGAGGTGTTCTCAGCCACAACAGGTTACTTATCTAAGGAAATGACGAGAACACAGCAGTGTTTGGTGTGTTTGATGCAGTGATATTAATATAATCTGGATTATTTGCATATGTTTCCTGTTTTAGCATGTAGGGATAAAAACCATTGAAGTTTAAGATCTAGGTCTGAATAGCAGAACAGAAAGTATGACGAGCGTTTGTTAAAGGTAAAAAGAAATAAAACAAAAATTAATTTGATTTTACTCACACAGTCCTCCTGTCATACATCGGCTCCTCTGTTCACATCCATCTTTAGTCAGTGTATCCATCAGCATGAAGCCAGATGCCGCACACACACGCACACACACACCTGAGTGGCTTGTTTCATCCTCTCAGGCTGCAGGTGAAAAAGCAGAGCAGCCAGGCTCAGCACACTGCCTATCACACACACACACACACACACACAGACACATACTCCTTCTCCTCTCTCCTCTCCTCACTCTCTTTTCCTCCCACTCACTTTTACATTTTAACACTCCCACTCTTCTTCAGTCAGTCCTGTTAACCTTTCTCAGACAGATTCTCCTCCTCTACATCTTTTTTTTTTTTTTTGCTCTCTCTCTACGTCAGATCTGAACTTGTTCACCTTGCATTTGCGGCCGAGAGCCACTCTCAAGCCTCTCTTGGATTTGTAATCAACCTCCTGTTCCTCAGCCTGTGCTCCACACTCCACGGCTCTCTGCTGCTGGGTGTACAATTAGAGATGAGAGCGCTGTGCAACTCCTCAGCTGATGGTAGGCGTATGACTGCCTGATGGCTTGGCATTGTGCCCTGTTCACACAACTCGGACACACACACACACGCACACACACACACACACACACACACGCACGCACGCACGCACACACACACACACACACACTAGCTAACTAAAATAGAGACAATTCAATGCTTCTACAATCTAACAGCATGCTGTCTTAATCTGCTGTTTCCTGCTTCTCTGGCCCTCGTGGGCAGGTGAATTAATAATGTCATGATGCTGATTGAGAGAGAAGCTGAACTCAAAGTCTGCTTTGAACAAGAATACTCAAAGGTCAGCACCAAGCAGCCCAACCTGCTGCAGAGTAAATAAAACCGGGTGGTTGTGTAAGACACGTCCTTTGTCGTTTTATCTCACAGAAGAAAGAGGACAAATCTTTTGCTCCAGCACAGCATCCTTGGTCTCAGCTATTGATTTTGCAGGGCCTCAGCAGGTGAACCCCCAGTCATGAGAAAGCCTACGCATGATTTATTATATGGTGAAGAGGATCTCTCACTTTGACTCACATCATGCTTCCCCAGCCCACTCTCTCTTTCTGCGTAACTCGTGAATTCTCTGTTTTCTCTCCCTCTCTCACCCTCTGTCTGTCTGCTGATAAACACATGCTGGTGAGGGTTCACGGCTTGGTACGGCAAAAGGCTGAGTTGCATGCCTTTGCTACGATTAGCATATTCGGGCTAAACCACAGCAACCAGTGACATTTACAAAGAAAGGTTGTTTTAATTGATAGAAATTGCCGGTCACTCCCACCACTTTCCAACTGCTGCTGCACTGTTTGTATTTTCAGTTTCACTTCATGGCTTTTTGGCACAGATGCCACCTGAGAGTTTCACTGGTGATTCTTTTCCCATGCACATGTTTTAAAGGTTTACCGTTCTCCCTTTGCTTTGAGAAATTTGCTCTCGTGTAAAAAAAAACTAAAAGAAAGACAAAGAAAAGAAACAGATTCTTGTTTCCACCTCTGTCCTCCTCTGCTTGTAACAGACGTGATCGTTTAGAAACCCTCTTTGAGGATTTGTTTGTTTGGGGCAATTACTTTTTCACACAGGGCAATGTAGGTTTGGATTTTGTTCTCTCCCTGAATAATAAAAACCATCATTTCAAAACTGCATTTTGTGTTTACTTGTGTTATCTTTGACTAATGGTTAAATGTGTTTAATGATCAGAAACATTTTGTGTGACAAACATGCAAAAGAATAAGAAATCAGGAAGGGGGCAAATAGATTTTGACACCACTGTAGATGTCGAAGACAAGGTTTCAGTTTGATCTATTGAGGTTTCATTTCCTGATTGATTTAAGTTTGACTTTTCATCATGAAAAATAATAAGTAGCTCTGAGAACAAACAAGATAAACAGTTAGGCATAAAATACATAAAATGTCCTCGTATACAATATGTGTAAGGAATCAAAAGACTTAAAACAATCAGAAGCAGGCACGTTGATCAGAAACCATTGACCGTAATGAGTTATTGAAGGTAGATAATGGAAGGTAGGTAGTGAGCTTCAGTGCACCCCCCCCCCCCCCCCATTCGAGTCCTGTTTTTAAAAATCTGCATAATTTAACCTTTGTTTCTGCTACACCTGGCGTACCTAGTTTCATCATCAATCGAATATTCAAGGCTCAATAATACTGATAATACACATTTTTACAGAATATTACATTTTATTGAATACCTTTATTTTCACTATAATGGGGACGGTGTGCTGCTGACCTCTACTCGGGACGTTGTGGATCGGTGGGCAGAATACTTCAAAGACCTCCTCAATCCCATCAGCACGTCTTCCAGAGAGGAAGAAGAGTCTGGGGACTTTAGGTTGGGCTCTCAAATCTCTGGTGCTGAGGTCACTGAGGTGATCAAAAGCTCCTCTATGGCAAGGCTCTGGAGGTGGATGAGATCCGCCTGGAGTTTCTTAAGGCTCTGGATGTTGTGGGGCTGTGTTGGCTGATGCGACTCTGCAATATTGCATGGAAATTAGGGGCAGTTCCACCAGACTGGCAGACCGGGGTGGTGGTCCCCCTATTTAAAAAGGGGGCCCGCAGGGTGTGTTCCAACTACAGGGGGATCACACTCCTGAGCCTTCCTGGTAAGGTATTCTCAGGGGTTCTGGAGAGGAGGGTCCGTCTGATTGTTGAACCTCAGATTCAGGAGGAGCAATGTGGTTTTCGTCCTGGCCGTGGAACACTGGACCCTTTAGAATTGGTGGAGTGTTGTTTCCACCAGGATCACCGCTTTTCCGTTTGTTCCCCTTCCTTGCCTTCATATATCGGTCCCTCATGTTTTACCAGTATTTTTAACAGCATCCTCGTCTTTTCTGACTGTGCGAGCTATTTCTCTCCAAGAATTATTAACCACATGTTGATCACGGTGATCTTTGAGAGCTGAATCATACAAATGTCTGTATTTACGAACTCTGCCATAACAAGTTCTTCCGCCATGTTTTTCCGTGTTCGACCATCCACAGGGTTAGAAAATTTCCTAGGTGTGCGGTGCGGAAAGTTTGGGCCATGCGGAGGCCAGGTGGAGGTGCATGGTTATTAAAATGACGCAATTTTGCTGCGCAGAGCTGTGCGAACCTCGCGGACGCGTCAAGCATAAACCAACCTTTAGGGGGGTCCTGGAGGGTGTGTGGGAGTTCACCCAACCAATTTACATGTGTTCAGTGGATTTGGAGAAGGCGTTTGACCGCATCCCTTGGGGGGTACTTCAGGAGTATGGGCTACCAGGCCCTCTGATAGGGCTGTTAGGTCCTTGTATGACCGGTATCAGAGCTTGGTCCGCATTGCTGGAAGTAAGTCGGGCTCTTTCCCAGTGAGAGTTGGACTCTGCCAAGACTGCCCTTTCTAGGTGCAGCCCAGGTGTTGAGGGCATCCGTTTTGGTGGCCTGAGGATCAGGTCTCTGCTTTTTGCAGATGATGTGGTCCTGTTTGCTTCATCAGACCGTGATCTCCGGCTCTAACAGGAGCGGTTGGCAGCCGAGTGTGAAGCAGCTGGGATGAGAATCAGTTCCTCTAAATCTGAGACCATGGTCTTGAGTTGGAAAAGGGAATAATGCCTTCTCTGGGTCAGGGATGAGGTCCTGCCCCAAGTGGAGGAGTTTAAATATCTCAGGGTCTTGTTCCTGAGTGAGGGAAAGCTGGAGCGTGAGATCAATAGGTGGATTGGTGCTGCATCTGCCGTGATGCGGGTGTTGTACCGGCCTGTCGTGGTCAAGAGAGAGCTGAGCCAGAAGGCAAAAATCTTGATTTAATGGACGATCTACGTTCCTATCCTCACCTATGGTCACGAGCTTTGGGTAGTGACCGAAAGAACGAGATTGCGAATATAAGCTGCCGAAATGAGTTTTCTCCGCAGGGTGGCTGGGCTCTTTTAGAGATAGGGTGAGAAGCGTGGTCATGCGGGAGGGGTTTGGAGTGGATTTGCTGCTCCTCCACATCGAAAGGAGCCAGCTGAGGTGGCTCGGGTATCTGGTCAGGACGACTCCCTGGTGAGGTTTTCCGGGCATGTCCAACCGGGAGGAGACCTAAAGGGAGACCCAGGACACGCTGGAGGGACTATGTCTCTCAGCTGACCAGGGAACACCTTGGGATTCCCCCAGAAGAGCTGGCTCAAGTGGCTGGTGAGAGGGAAGTCTAGGCCTCTCGACTTAGGCTGCTGCCCCCGCGACCTGACTCGGGATAACCGGAAGAAAATGTTGGTTGGACGTCATCGGAGTAAAAACGCAGCAGTCTGTAAAACGTTAAGTAATCTGCAGTCTCTGCAGCATGTTTGTGAGGGTGTCCACTGTTCTACGGTGAGCAGGTGTAAGGTCATGAGGTCAGGCTCATCAGCATAACGACACAAAAACACACGAGGATATAGAGGTAGGTATCTGTAGAGGTGGCCCAGGTTGTGTTTAGTTTGATGGGATATGAAAGTACATTGATCAGGATAGAAACAGATTTTAGATCAGTGGCCATAGTTATACAGATGGATGTTGTAGATGGTGGTGGATCTGATGGTGTTCAGCCAGTCAAGAGGGCTTCTGCTTGTTCCCAGGGATGAGGGTTTGGTGGGACTCTGCAGAGTGAACATCCCAAGACGAATGTTTGAGCCTAGAGGAAACTTTCATATCAGCTGGAAATTGTGGAAATGGTTGAGCCGTTTTTTCTTCAGGAGCAGAACACTTCTGCACTCATTTATAAATCAATTTATTTCTGTGACAAACACATTTCATTAACACTTTAGGAAGTCACTATAACTCTCCATTAATACTGTTAAATTCACGTTTTTTAAATAGTTATGAAAGCACATCTTCACTGCTTTTTTCATCCTTCATATTTCAGAAAGGTTCTGAGATTGTGGGCCTGTTCCTGCTGAACAAGAATCGGGTTGTGTGTGTTCACATCCTGCACTTTGGCACCTGTCAGAAAATCTGGAGCTCATCAGAGTCTCAGAAATTTTTTACACTGTAAACATTCATCCTGATTCTGGTAGAAACGGGAAACACTTTGGGTCCGCCTGTGTCAGGAAGGTTCCTGCTGAGAGCTGAGGAGTCTGTCTGCTGATGAAGAAGAGTATCGTCCTTCATCTTCTTCTTTCTCCTCGCCCTCCTCTCTGTCTATCTGGCTGGGTTCTTCCAACAGGAGTTTCAGACGGTTCAGGTGATGCAGAGCTCTGAGAAAGAAATGTTTCAACATCATTAAGTAACATCGGTTTGAGATGAAGTCACAACAGAATGATGGGATTTTTCAGCATTCAACAACAGAACTTTTGAACCCGTTCAGGAATTCAGGCTGTTGATTCACAACAACGCTTAGAAAAAAGGCCCAAATGTTGTTTTACTGGAAAAATATTTCACCATTATTTTTGGCCCAATGTTCATAAATTTGGACTGAGAGTATGACCCGGCTGTGGTCTGATTGGCAGTTATGTAGCTGCCCAGTGGAATGGTGCTGCCTACTGGAGCTGCCGTACTGGCCGGCCGCCATTTTAGATGGGTCTCCATTCGCCCCCAGTGTATTCATTTTTACTGGGGAGGTGTTTAGCCAACTAAAAACACATTTTATCAAGCTTTCTCACAAAATCACTTATGGTATGGTGTGATAATTAAAATATAAATATAACAAAATAAACAAAAATAAATAAAAAATCCTATCAGGTAGGCTAGAAAAGTCACCAATAATCTCACGTGACCTGTTTTAAATTGCTGTTGTAACCGTAGGCTGCACAAATAACAGACATATTTGCTTGCTCTGCATTGACTTTGGAGAATGAAGAGACCCATCCAATATGGCGGAGATGCTGTTACACTCTCCAGCACCCAATGGGGCGTCTACCTTTTTTATGTCTATTCGTGCATTCCAGTTGTCCTCAGAACTCAGAGTTTGCGAGCAGGAAATGACGGGCTCGTTTTGCGTTCCAGCTTCCAACTCAGAAAAAATGGATGCCACTAGTGTTGTTGAGTACTAAACCAAAACAATTATACTGTATAACCAAGTATTCTCTGCATCTAAATAATAGTGACAACAGTTGCCACACACAACCAGAAAAACATTACAAATCAAATGTAAATATAAATGCCAGGAAAAGTAAAAAACATAAACACCGCTCAATTTTGGTGGCAATGTTAAAAATTTCTACAACGTAACTAGTGATAACAACAATAAACAACTTACCGGTGCTGTTAAATAGCAAAGAGAAAGAAAACAGAACATTTAAATGAGAATAAAAATAAAGAAGATAACTACTTCCTGGTAGCACTGGTAGCCATTTTTAAACTTGGGATCTCGGGGTCCTGTTGAACCTACGAGTTTGCAGCTTGAAATTTCGAGTTCCGAGGACAACTGGAACACACCATATGGACTGAAGCCCCAGGCTGTGATCTGATTGGCTGAAGCCCAAGGCTTTGTCCTGATTGTTTTTTTTAAAATAAATCCTGAGGTGTTCAGAGCGAGTTACCTCTGTAGGGATGGTGGCCCATGAAAACTCTGAAACTCGGAGTCATGATGAAGCAACTGCAACACAAATAATTTCATGTTTTATTAACAAAACGTACAAAAGAAAAGTCTGTTTAAAATCTCAACTAAATGTTGATTTTTAAGTTTTATCCCATTGATGGAATTTTATCTATTATATGTGATAAGAATCCAAACATATTTAGGCCAGAATGTTGTCTGTCATGTGTCCAGTCTGAGCGACTCTACCTGTTTCTCAGGTGTCTTCAGACTATCAGTGAATGGTGGCGGATCTGCTGGCTCTTTTTGTCTCTGAAGCTCCGCCTCCACCGACTGGAGTCTGAACAACATCTGTTTCATGGCCTCCACTGGTCCAGGTTGCTTGCAGATGTTGTTTCTGTGGAAACCACAGCCCCGAACCTGGAAGAGGAACCAGACAGAGGTGTGGATCAGCTCATTTGGAAACTCAGTAATAACATGAACGTTTTTCCCTCTTCAGGATGTTCGGAACACCTACCTCCACATCTCCGTCAGCTGGAGCAGCTTCCAACCCTCCAGCTGCTGAGTCTCTGCAGGTTCAACACAAGTCAGTGAGGGACGCAGCATCAGAGCGAAATACAAGATTAAATGAGACTTACAGGAGTAATGGAGGGAAGCGTGGGGGAGGCGAGGGCAGCAAGTCCTCAGTGTGAATTGAACTGGCTGGGAACATCAAACAGCAACTGTTTAGTGACTCAGCCTTACTGCGGGAACCAAAAGTTCAATTCAATAGTTTTCAGGTATTTCACAGTAAGAGCCTTCCTTTTTCTTAGTTTTTTAAAACTAAACAGTGAATGTGTACAAATCCTTCAGCTGTTTCACAGTAAGTCTTCCTGTCACATCACAACAAAAGCTCACAGGAAATGTTTTAGTAAAATGCTCCTTTCCATTAAAGAAAGACTTTTTAAAGCTTCTAACTTCATTCTGTTCCTTCAGAAAAAAAAAAACACTTCTAGCCAAAAAGCATATCCAGCTACTTCATTGTTTATATAAAACATCACAGACCTGATTTTTGACATAACAGGAAATAAACCCAGTTATGTAATTACTGCTTTATCGATGCAACAACGGAAGAAAAACCAACTAAACAATTATTCCAGTTTCTTTATGTGTCTGACGCTCCGCTGAACAGTTTGTTTTGGGGACAGAAAGACCTAAAATCATTTGTGCTTTCGGACGTGTGATTCAAGCTGTTGCTTCTTCTGGTTTTCTCCGAAGCCTTGACTCACTTGGATCAGCAGGACACTCAGTTCTTCCAGAAAGCGAGTTCAGCACCTGATCCGCCTTCTGGATCAGAGATTCGATCCTGTTCTCTAGCAGAAGGAAAATCACATGAAATGTCGTCAGGGGTCACATGAAAATCGTGATGAATTAGTGATTTTACCTCTGAACAGAGCTGCCAGGGAGTCGGAACCTGTTCTTTCTGCTGCGAGAACAGAAATCTGTTCGGCCAGCTGAAGCCTCAGAAATCTGAGTGTCTGCTGGTTTTCAGCCTGAAAGCAGCTTATTTCAGACTTCTGTCCCACCTGTGCAGGTTTATCATTAGGATCATTGTCTTTTTCCAGGTCAGATATCCAGGATGAAGCTACGGTTCTGGGCGCTCCAGTCGGAGGAGAAACTAGAAAACAAACAGCTACAGCTGTTGACGCTATTTTATTTAAGACACCATTCTTTAACAGGAAGTGATGAAAACAGGCTTTTCACTGGGAACCAAACTAGAAACTAGCAGTCTCTCTATCTGACAGCAGTTATCTGTAAAACGTCTGGTACTCTGCATCTGTCTCATTTCTTTAAATGACAAGTTGTAAAATAAAGCTTTAATCAAAATGGGTTTAAAAAGTGAACAATTATGACAAATTTGATCCCAAACCCTAAATTTACAGCTAATAGTTTCCAAACAAAATGGTAGCATCCTTACCAGCTGAGCATATCCATCAAAAACAAAATCACAAACAGCGTTTTGAGACATTTTAAAATATCAGAGATGCAATAATGTTTTCATCAGACTGTTAGTTATTCAGTCACATTGTTCTTCGAGCTTCCTCCGATCACCAGTGAGAAGTGAGTGGTGTCGTACCGCGCTCGTCCCACAGGTCCGGTTCGCTGACATCACAGCGTCGGATCCAGGCCGGGTACTTCAAATCAGGCAGGCTGCTGATCTCAGAACAGTTCAGCTCAGCTTTGTTACTGGTGAGCCAGTGAGGGATGTGGAGGTCTGCAGCTCTGTGTGCAGACTGACAGAAAGAGGAGCTAATGAGGTTTATTACATTAACTAATCATGAGCCCAGCTGATAACAACAACATACAGATGAGGCAACAGCAGCTGGGTTCAACATGGCTGCTCTCCCTCTGCACCTGAAGAGGAGAAAAGTTCATTTTAAATACTAAACATAGGATTCCACCACATGAGAATATAAGAAAACTACAGAAACATAAACTCCATTTTAATGTCTACAGAAACAATTCGGAGACTTTCTGTTTGCTAAGTTAAAGGTGGAACTACTATTAGATGGTACATATCAGTCATAAAGCAATTTAGAGTGTGGTAAAACTTTCTTAAACGAGTCATCTGATCAACTAAATAAATCTATTACTCAGTCTTTTCTCTCTTTATTCCTTAAAATGAACACTCGCCAGTTCTACAGCTCTTAATTCATGTGGAAACATGAGTGAATAAGTAGACATAATAAATACACCTTACTCATAACAGAGGAATCATGTTTCATCAACAGAAAAAACAAACCTGGAGCTGCTGGGAGGTCTGATGGGATCAGAGGTCTGGTTCAGGTGGAAGGGAGCAGCCCGGTTATCGAGTCCTGCGCTGGTTCTGTGTGCAGGTCTGAAGGTAGGGGAGAAGGACCGAGGGGCTTCAGACCAAGATGGGAGGCCTGAAATTAGAGAAACAAAGATGCACAAACAGAAATTAAGGCTTTTACTGCTTTCATTAGCTTTTTGTCTTTTGTTTCAAGTAACATCAAATATTTATAGAAAAAAAGGTTCATAAATCAAACTGATGTGGTTCACCATTTAATCAATACATCTGCAGTGGTCTCTAGTAGGAATGAATGCCTTGTAAGTTTTACTCTGGGGAAACAAAGCTCCAGTGCGCCTGTTTGAGGAAGTAGATATCAGCCACATCAGAGCTGTGCTTCAGATGACAGGATTTAGAGTGTTATTTCCTGAAATCTCTCCTCTGATTGGCTAACAGCAACGCAACTCTACCACTGACTCTGTTTGCTCTGCAGCGTTGATGTTTTATCTCCACAAACACAAGACTGGAGGAGTTCTGCTGAGTGGTAGAGTTGCTAATGCTAACGGTAAAAAAATAATAAAATGTCCTGTATAGCACCTTCTTGGGGTTCTACAACCCCCAAGGCGCCTCACAACACAATCAGTCATTCATCGATTCACACACACACTCACACACTGGTGGGGATGAGCTACGTTGTAGCTAAAGATGCCCTGGAGCACACTGACAGGGGTGAGGCTGCTGAACACAGGCGCCACCGGTCCCTCCGACCACCACCAGCAGGCAAGGAGGGTTAAGTGTCTTGCCCAAGGACACAGCAGCAGCAGTCTCTGGTCGGAGCCGGGATCGAACCTGCAACTTTCTGATTACTGGACAACACACTCTACCTCCTGAGCTACAGCTGTCCCCGTTAGCTTCTACTAGCTGAGACGTTCTCTGTTGTTTCCTGGACGCTAAACCAAAAACAGCCTTCCCCTTCGTAAGTCAAGATGGGTGAGTCCATGAATGTTAGGTGACAGTGTGACGTAGATCTGTCAGGATTTTCTAATCCTAGAGTTTCACAGTCTGTTTTCTATCAGAAGCTAATGCAGGAGATAAGTGTAGGAGACTATTTTCATGTTCAGCCTGCATGAAAAACTGTTAGAATCAGAAATAATCACTAAAACATTTTTTTCAGTGTTCCCCACCTTTAAGATTTAGATGAATAACAAGAATAAAGAACCACAATTTATTTTAAATAAAAACTATAAAGTTTAACCATCAGCATTTATTTATGTGTCAAAGATGAATGTAAGAAAATGTTAAAGATACGTTTTTCATTCCTCAGACAGAAAAAATGAAGAGGATGTTATCACCTTGTACGAAGGCAGATGTGTGAGTAACAGGCATGGACCCATCGTAAGGGATGGACAACAGTTCGTTAGTTGTCATGGAGTATCTGTCACGGTTACTACGGTGATGGAGGGAGCTCACAGGGAGGTTCAGGAAGTCCAGCTCCCTGTCTGTCAAACGCTCTCTGAGAACTGCAGATAAAAACAAAAACTTTATCCAAATTTAACAACAAAACAAGAAGAACATGAATTCTGTGTGGCACAAGCTACTACGAGGACCTCACTTTGTATAAAGTGATCTGTGACCTTAAATAAGACATTGTGCATTTTTATTATTTAATATCAAACCGCTTAGAATGGCTCTAAGCTGTGTCCTACCGTCTCGGTTTCTGAGTGAACCCACTCTGGGTTTGGTTGGTGTGTAGGGCCCATTGTGAAGAACCAGACTTCCTGTTAGCGACCTGCATTTCTGACAACTCCTGTCAAAGTCTGAGATGTAGGCGTCCAGTGCTGCTGAGGCTGAGTCATAGTCCTGCCAACAATCGATCAATAATTATCAATGTTAAGGTTTCCCTTTTCCCAACAACATCAGAATACTTGCATATATTACAAAACTAGAGTGAATACAATGTTACTAACATGACAAGAATTACTTTAAAAAAATCAAGAAGAAAAAATAATTCCTGCTTTTATTTAAGTTAAGTGAAATAGAATTCCAAATGGGCTGAATATAACAATTAGTAATGAATTGTGATTTTATCAGAATTTAATTTTCCACATGGAAAGGAGCCAGCTAAGATGGCTCGGGTTAGCCTTGCCTAACCCTAACCCTGGATGCCTCACTGGTGAGGTCCAACCAAGAGGAGACCTAAAGAGAGATCCAGGACATGCTAGAGGGACTAAGTTTCTCAGATGGCCAGGGAACGCCTTGGGATTTCCTCAAAGGAGCAGGCCAAAGTGGCTGGAAAGAGGGAAGTCTGTGCCTCTCTGCTTAAGCTGCTGCCCCGTGACCCAATCCTGGATATGTGGACAAAAATAGATGGATGGATGGATTTTCAAACTTGTATAAAGAATAAAGTCATTGTTTATTAGAATACCAGCTTGGCTGCTGCAACAAAACCAACACAGAAGACTCTGTGAGAGGCAATAAGAGCAGAACATGAACCTTGTCTCGATATCTGATGGTTGTGTCGTGTTCAGGAGGCCTCAGGCTGCTCCTCAGGTGACCTGAGCTCGACAGAAGGGAGGTCACGGTTGACTCAGGAGATAAACAGTCATCTACCAAGCTGCTCAACTCCATGCTGGTGAAAATAAAAACATTTCAAGGTTACAGTTTTGGTAAAAACAACATTTTTTTTCTAAGATAAGTTTTAACATCAGAACAAAAGGTTTTGAAAAAGCCTTTGATCCTCAGCAGATCTTAAAAATAAATCCAAGATGGGTCTAAGCTTCAGCTTTCAGACAGATTGATATTCATAGCTACAGAATGAGCCCAAACCATCAACCCTCCACCACCGTGCTGACAGCTGGTATGTGGCTTTCTCCCACCGGCTCCTGTGACAGGTTTTTATACTATTTATAAGTTGGTCTTGTCTGTTCCACTGTGATTTTGTTCAGATGAAACTAAAAACTTCGTCATCCTGCAACCATTCCAAACAAGTTATATTCTATCAAAAGTTATTTAGCTTTAAACTGCAAATTAAGATGTCTTTTTTTTGCTGAATATTATCCATCTGTTAACTTTACTCATCGCCTAATGTCATTATATCAACACAACTGACACATATGGTGGCTAGCAAATAACTAGGCGGTTTCAACACGATTATACAGACAAAAAAGCTTGTTAGCTGTGATTTAGTAAGAGGAAAAGAGCTAACAAACTTAATTTCAAAAGTTAGCTAAACTTACGACTAAATAGCACCGGCTAAACGGAAGTTTCAAAACAAGCTAACCATCAAACGGAGCTACGAGACGATTTACTGTCCTAAATGTCTTCGTGTGTGTTCATGTAAAACGAAGAGCGTTTAAGAGACATTCAAGGATCCCGGGTGAAGGTAAACGGTTAGCTGGTCCGAAATCAGTTCATCATGTACAGTCTATGGTTCATCCTGATGGAACTGGCACGATGACGTCACTAGCATCCAGGCGGAAGTTCATAAGAATTTCTTATCTTTGTTTTGTTTTGTCAGCATTTTTATGTAATGGATTTTAGTAAAACAAAATCTTAAAGAACAAACAAGCTTCCGTTTTATTTTCTTGTTTTTAACCTGGCTGGACACGTTTGGACTGCCCCCTTCCCTTTCCTAAGTAATGGTACAATCCACCGCAGGATTTTTTTTTAATGAGAACTTTATTGAAACACAATTGTAGAGTTCAGAAGATAAGACGATCGCTCTTACAGATTTCTAGAAAATCATACATAATTCCTGAAGGGGGAAAACTCCATATTAAAGCTTTAATAGTCTGGGTGGGTAAATGAGGGACAACAACTCTTTGAACAGTTGATATTTACATTTTATTTTACAAAACTGAACAGTTTATAGAAACACCTTGATGTTCAAGTTCTGAGAAGATTCAGACATTAGTACACGCTTTTGATTCAATTTCAGTTTACACAAAAGTGTGTTTTAACCTACTTTACAAGGTACCAAAGCTGATAATCAAGTGTTCAAATGGTTCGTTTTCACCAGCGATGTTATTACAAGAATCAGAAAAGCCTCAACAGTGATTCTGTTAATCAGAACAAATGCTGTAAAATTTTTGATTTGTTATAAAATGTGTGTAGATACCACACACACACACACACACACACACACACACAGTAAATTTATAGTTAGCATTAAGAATATTTTCTGACAGCATTCCACAACATTTATGGTTTAAAACCGCGTTTAGAACATATAAAACACAATAACACTGAACTATTTAACAAACTAAATAACAAAAGTAAAACTCCATAAAACACTTCACATGTTTGTGGACCTTTCAAATAAACCTGATATCGTTCATTCCTTTTAATAAACCAAGAGGTGAATATTCTCTTTGACACCGTTCTTTGTTTTTAACAAACACATCAGAAATGCTGCAGAAAAATCAGGAAGGTTCAAAAGCATGTGGAGTTTTACTGTTCTGGGCTGCGAGGAGATTAAAAAAACATAAAACTGTATTAAAAAAACAATAAAAGAGTAAAAATGAGCATATATCAGTTTTTAGGATGGATTAAATGTTCTGGTGACTGCTCTGACTTGTGGTTTCTGTGATCATGCTCCTGGTAACAGTCAGAACTTTGAAGTCATGGTTAAATTAAAATCTGCTTTGTGTTATATAGAAACCTAAACCACACCACCTGGTCTCTAAGGACCTGCAGGTTGCAGCAGAAAGTCGTGTCAGGATTAGATCGGCTCGCGGCTTCCCTCTGAGTATTTCAGTTTGTTGGTTTCATCAGTGACTCTGCCGCTCGGACACGACGTCCTGCAGACGCTTCAGCAGAACGTCTGGACTGCTGCCGTTCTCCGGACACGCCCGCTTACTGGGCGAGTCGCACATTGGTGACATCATCACATCCCCTTCCATGTTGAACGCCCTTTTCCTGTTCACACATCCCTGTCGGATCATCCGGTTAATGTCTGACAGGTCCTACAGAGGAGACAACAGTTAGGCTTTCCCAGTTTTTCTAAAATTTATGAAATAAGTGTTTTTTTTTTAATGCCTTAATCTTACTGGGCTGCAAATGTCGGCAACAATCTTTGGTTTTCTTGCTCGAGTTACAGAACCTCACAGTCATGCTGCTGGGATTTTCTAAATATTAAAAATAAATCATTTACTAAATTTCCCCTTAAAATAGTTCAGAATTGTTGCAAGGATTGGAAAACTCCAACGCTTTTCAGTTCAGTCACGTCAGAAACTGGGCCATAAATGGGATTTACTGTTTAGTATTATTACCGATTCAGCGCGAGTCCAACTAAAATAAGCTTCCAGTTTTTTCCCCTAATTTGTGTCTCCAGCTGGTTGTTGACAGAGGTTTATAGCAGAAATAATCTTAATTTCTTTCAATTTAAAGGAGTGGTTCACTCATTTAATCAATACATTTACAGATTATGTTTATGTTTATTCATTTAGCAGATGCTTTTATCCAAAGCGACTTACAATTTCAAACCTATAGGGCATGTTGTGATCTGTGGGGGAAACCGGAGTACCCGGAGGAAACCCACGCATGCATGGGGAGAACACGCAACTCCACGCAGAAAGGCCGCAGCGGAGTTTCGAACCTGCAACCTTCGTGCTGCGAGGCAACAGTGCTAACCACTGCGTCACCATGCAGCCCACAATGGTCTCTGGTAGGAATTAATGCCTTGCAAGCCGTACTCCGGGCAAAAAAAGCCCAGAAATGCTTGGATCAGCACCAAGTCTGCTGCAGCAGAGAGTTGCTAATGCTAACGAAATGGCAGAAATGCGTCTACCAGCCAAGATGCGCTCTGCTGATTCCTGGACGTTAAACCAACAACAGCCTTTCCCGTTATGAGTCAAGATCATCGACATAAATATACGGTCAAGATGGGTGAGTCCACGAAGGTTAGTGACAGTGTGGCGTAGATCTGTCAGGATTTTCTAATCCTAGAGTTTCACCGTCTGTTTTCCATCAGAAGCTAATGCAGGAGATAGGTGTAGGAGACTATTTTCATGTTCAGCCTGCATGAAAAACTCAGAGTGACCCATTAGAATCAGAGATAATTATTAAAAATGGTTTTTCAGAGTTCCACACCTTTAAGGAATTTAACTTTTTTCTTCAAATGAACTGAAATTCTAGATTTTATTTTAATAATGTGCTGTTTAAAAAAATCATTAATCAGCTTGAAACAAGACGTAAGCTTTAAGTAGCTCACAGTGTGTGTGTGTGTGTGTGTGTTTATACTTGCCTTGGAGGGGCTGCTGTTGATCCTGTAGGTGAAGGAGCTCGGTGTGAGACAACCAGAGGAATTCTTGTGAGGGGACACGTACAGCGAGTGTCTCTGACTGACTCGGCGAGGAGACAGAGGCTGAGCTCGGACCGACGGGAACGGAGACAGAGGAGGAGCGTCTGCCTGGAGGATCCAACAAAGTCACACCAAGAATGAATTAGAGACACCGCAGCCTCAGCCCAGAGGCACATTGTTAGAGCAGAACGAACGCTGTGACGATGTTGTACCCGATTATCGTTGGTGGCGTATCTCAGAGCGAAGCTCTTCATCTTCAGGATGAAAGTGGTGTTATAAAACTGAATGAGGTCACCGCGTTCCTCCTCTTGTGATTGGCTGGAGTTGGTGTCACCTCCAGCCTGACTGGTTTTCTCTGCAGCTGAAAAAACAAATAAACTCATTTAGGGAAAATAAAACTTTAACTTTGATGGTGGTTCTTATAAATGCTGGAATTAACTTTATACTCAAAAATGTATTTTTTAAATGCATTTTTATTTATTTAATTTTCATCTTACTCAAACTAAAGTGAATACATAATATACAGCCACAGTCTAAGCCAGGGGTCGGCAACCCGCGGCTCTTCCATCCATCTGATGCGGCTCTCTGTGCTTGTAAAATAATGAATGGATATTTAAATAAAAAGCTTTATATTTTACTGCATTAATTTTACATCTGTATGCCAATTATAAATGTAAAGATTGTCTGCGTAAACCTGAACAGGTCCAACCCGGTCTTACTGTGAGACCGGGTTGACGGGTCACGCTTGTGCGTAATCATATAGGCGCATTCTGAGCTGAAGACAATGTGAGATTCTGGGCTTCTCCTCAGACGGCCCCTGGATGTGTCGCCACACTGGAGACAGGAACAAACGCTATTCAGCCAAAGTTTCATCATCAGGGAACATTTTCTAAGAGTCCAGCTCAGATGTTCAGATGGGAATCTTTTCTTGAGTGATTTAGCTACATCTGTGATGTGCCTAACGAATAAAATGTCAGTTCGTCTGCATGCGTTGGGGTAATTCTTTCTATTCTTTCTCCGTCAAACAAACGGCCAAATACGGAAACTGTCCGGTCAACACAACACAAGCCCTGCTTTTAACTGTTCTGTTTTCTGGTGAAAATTGTTACAAATTTAACTTGATTAACACCAGAGCCAGGCGCACTGCGCCGTTATCTCCGTCACTGTAAATGAGGGGAAAACAAATTGATCGGATCCTTTTCTGACCTTCCCCACCTACAAAGTTTAATTACAACAATCAAACGTGACAGAGCCTGGATTTGTATTCTGAACAGTCTAAACATGTTTTAAAAAGAAACGTACAACAAAAGTGGCACCTGCTCAGTAAAACCACCAACAGGGTGAAAAATATCAAAATACTGTAGGCAGAGACGGGCTACAACTTCTGGATCCATTTTATATAAATCATTTTATTGATTATCTTCTTATGAAAGACAGCTTTTATGTACACGAGCGACCGGTACTGGCTGCTGTCACCTGTTGTGATTGGTTAAAGCAGCTCTCTGCTGTCTGAGGGTAGGCCCCGCCCACAACGTCGCGGCTGCTGTGGCTCCGTGTTTTCTTTACTGTGGGAAACGGGTAATAATGGCTCTTTGATGGGAACAGGTTGCCGACCCCTGGTCTAATCAGTCATCTATGTATTATTTTATGCGACGTTCATGATGAACCCTGATGAACTTTGCTGGCCAAACCTGGAAAATCATTTGTTAATGTTTATGTATTTAGTCTGAAGAGGCAAACATCAGTTTTCTAGCTAAATAAAAAAAAAAAAAAAATTGACCTATATTTTTGGCTAAAATGCCTTTAGAGGAGATCTAAATGTGTTTGTATGGAAGCGTGTGTCTGATCTTACATTCTCCACCCGACACAGCATCCACCTCCATGTTCTCGTCAGCTGGCTGCGCTTTGGGAGTCCGCCGTAACAAGACGCTGCGGTAAACCTGATCACACAGACAGCGTAAGCCTCCAGCAGATGCGAGGTGTAACTTAGATTTCAGCGGTTTTTGTGTTTCTCACATGGCTGCTGGCTTGGGGCTGGCTGCGGTAACACTTCATGATGTCCTGGAAGGTGTGAGTCTCTTTGGTGATCTGAGAGGAGAGCATTAAAGCCGTGCTTAAAGGAACATAAGTTACACCAGCTGATCCAATAACCGACCTGCCAGGATTTTTAGCATAACCACAGAGAGCAGAATCCTTTTAATTCATAAAATCTATAAAACGAGCAGCTTTTCTATGTTTGATAACAGGAAGTTGCACCCAGGGCATCAAGGACAGCTCGCTTTTATTAACCAATACACATTTTTGGTCTGTAATATTTTAGTGGAGGCTTTTAAACTGACAGCAGAAACTCACTGGCAAAAAGGAGCCCAGACTGGCTGATGTTGTTCGTCATATAACCACTGTTTGGATCTCCTCATCATTAAAGTGAATCCCAGAGTCCTCAGTCTGACTAGTTGTGTGTTCGGCTGACTTCATTCAGCCTGAGAAGACGTTTGGTTCTTGGTTCGTTAACGTGTTGCAAATAGTTTCTCTACGATCGCGCAGAAGCTGCTGTTCAGTGAAACACTCTGCTGGCTGGCATTTTCCTACACAGCTGCTTCGTTAACTCTTAGTTATCGTTCTTACTTTGGATATTATATAAATGCTGCACAGCAGCAGCTGGTCGAGATGTCGATCCTTCATCAGCTCAGTGCAGTGAACCAGCGCGTGCTCAAAACATGTCCAGATTTTTCCTCGCAGCTCTGAGGAGATTTCCAACTTCAGGCACAAATCCCTCAGGCGTACACTGGCCAGGTGATACACCTGGAGGGAGGGGGAGACAGAGAGAGAGAGTTAGTCAGAGGAAAGACAAATGTCCAGCAGAAGATAAACAATCATCGTTTATTTTTTTAAATAAACAAGTGAAAATCTTTCTCACCTTCCTGAAGAACAGAGCGATTGACCCGGTGCATCGAGGCCGCCCGTTCCCCATCTGAGGGTCAGAGGTCGAGGCAGCAGTGAAGTTCCGGCTCGGAGAGGCGGTCAGCAGAAACTGAGCTGTGACGACGCCAGAAGAGTCACACGGCTGGACTGGGATCAGTGTAATGGTACGGTCGCTGCTCACGCCTGAAAATATTCACACAAGAACAGATGCTGCAATCAAATTCACATTTTATTAACCTCCCAGGAGCTTAGCTGTTGTAACCTTTGATTTATATATACTGTATATATATATTAGGGGTGGTACTTTAACGTTAATTATGATCAATTAATTAGAAAACAATTATGTGTTAAAAAAATTCACACATTTAATCACAACTTGTATTTCAAGCAAGGCGGAACCTTTGTCCTTGCATGATTTCCTCGTAGAGCGAATATCACTGACACACAACACAGTGCTCTGATATAACGGGTACTAAAACAGAAAGAAATCGTCTCGCTTGGACCAATGCAGTATTTGGGAAACACGTCACCCTCTTCTCTTAACTTGTTAAAAACAAAACCTTCCTGACAACTACGGAGTCCGTGTCGCGGGCAGAGATCGTCTCTGCTGCTGCTGCTGCTGCCCGGTGGCACCGGAAACTTTACAAAAGGTGAGATAAGCTATATTTTTAACATTTATGTAACATTTGTGCAGCTTTGAGGGCACTTTTTCCCGAACGATTAAAATGCGACTAATTAGAAAGCCTCTAATTAACTAGATTAATTATATATATATTATATATATTATTATTATATTATATTTTTATATATATATATTTTTTTACTGAGAAGCAAAACATTTTTTGTGAAGATAATCAAGTTTTGAATCAATAATCCTAAAAATAGCAAAAAGAATGATTAAAAATAACAAATCCTAAGTCAGATGTTCAGAGCTTTATGCTGAGGGTCAGTTACTATCATTTAATTACAATAAAACAAAATTCAGGAGTTTCATTATATGTTAAACACATTTCTGCAAAGAAAAAAGACTCATTTAGGTGAAATTAGTAACTTGATCCGTCTGCTGGTTAGGGTTCTCAGTCATCCAGGTTATGGTAATTCAAAGGATTCAAATGAAGGCGACTGGACTGGAGTTGCCTGTCCTGAAACAGAGAACTGTACTGTAAGATGGACAGGTGTGCTCACCTTGCAGTGGGATGCTCAGGATGGTGGTCGGGGCTCCCTGACCTCCGCTCTTCAGGGTGCTGCTCGACCCGAAGGTCAGCCTTTTTGCCGGAGAAGGCAGAGGGCTCATTCTGGTGTTCAGGCTGACTGAAGGTCCTGGAGCGTCATCGCCAAAAAGTCGCCGCTTGGCACTGCCGGCTGCAGGAGAGCTGTACCGGTCATGGACTGACAGTGGAGAAGGAGGGACTTCTGTAGGAGAAGAGGAGACAGCCCTGTTGGCTTGAGGCTGAACTTCTGGGTGCGACATACTAGTAGAAATGTGAGATTGCCCATTCACCTTTACGTGCACTCCCCAGGCCTGATCTGAACTCCCTGATGCGTGGGTGGATGATGGGGGAGTGAGCCACCAGAGGTAGGTGAGACTGACCATTGGTGGAACCAGAACCCGAGTCGAGACAGGAGGAAAAGTTCACCTGAACAGGGACGTACAGATCCCTGTGAGGTGTCTCCTCCAGACAGAAAACTTGTGTTTCCTTCTTGTCATAAAAGAAGTTTTTCTAACAAAAGTCTGGTTTTATAAATCTGCAGAGAGCTCGTGCTTCAGACTTGTGTATAAAAGCTGATTATACCTTCAGACACCACAGAAAGTCTCTGTAAATAATATTTTTGTGTGTTCCTGTGTTGGATGTAGGGCTGGGCGATATGACGATTTTAGACCGTTTTACGTTCTACACATCTGACGGTCTGTCATTTTTGAGAGACCTTTTTATCACGATTCACAGCTCTGCTGTTGAATTTCTGCCTCTGAATGAAAAGGGAACTTACCTCAGGCGAATGACACGCCTTTGTTTGACCCTTAACCAATCAGAGTGAGTCATAGTAATATATTAGTGCCCCGCTTTTTTTCACCTCTGTGTGAACAAACATGGCTTCGGCCGCGGCTGAGAGCGACAACGAGGTTTTTGTTCCGAAGAGGAACGCCTCGTCCATTATATGGAACTGGTTTGGTTTTTCACCAGATGACAAAGAGCAGCGGAACGTCATTTGCAAGGAGAGCGTCAAGGCAAGTGATGGCAACACCACAAACTTGTTTAATCACTTGAAAAGAAGGCATCCCAAACAATACAATGAGAGCCAGCTGGCAGCTAAAGCTAAAAAGCCTGCGGCTACAGAGGCTAGTGCTTCTTCCAGGCAACAAACGCTAACAAAACTCACTCCCTACGGCAGAGACAGCAGACGATGGAACAGCGTGACAGATGCAGTGACGTACCACTTGGTTAAAGATTTGCGTCCCGTGCGAACAGTAGGAACATGATAAAAACATTGGATCCACGCTACGAGTTTTCCAGCCGCAAGTATTTTTCGAACACCACCATTCCACACATGTACGCTGAATGCAAAGTGAGCGTTGCAGAAAATATTCAGAATGCGCAGTTTTTTGCTACCACAAGCGATCTCTGATCCAGCCGCACATCAGAGCCGTATTTGAGCTTAACTATCCACTACATGAGCAACTGGGAGCTACATAGTATTTTGAACAAGTTAATGTTTGCACAATACGTTTGCAATTGATATGTTTGCACTTTAATTATGTTTACGATTTTAATTTATGTTAAGTTACTTGAAAAACGAGGAAAACTGATTTTTGTAATTGTTTCTCTCAGGGCTTTTATCATCTCTGGTGTGAGTTTAAAATATAAGTGTGTTAGCACTGTGCTGATTATCCCTAATATGAATAAATGTTTGTTTATTCAATGTTTCTCTTCTTTAATACGCAATTGAAGTTATGCTATTCATGGATAAAAAAATCGTGATAAAATCGAAATCGTGATAAAATATTGGAAAAATCGTGATATTCTATTTTTGCCATATCGCCCAGCCCTAGTTGGTTGCGTCACTGACCTCCTCCACGGTGGGGACTTTGTTCCCAGCAGCCTCCAGGGCACTCCATAGAGCAGAATCTGACACCCACGCTCTGCTTTCCAGAACCTGCTCCTCAATGGAGTTCAGATGCTTGACCATGTCTCTGGATAGGCCCTCCTCTGAGCGAATAAACACCTCAATCACCTGAACACACAACCATCACAGACAACTTAGATCTGAACAGGTCAGGGAGTTTCATCGTCACTAATCACCTGAATGTTTCATTGTGAATAATAAACTGAGTTTGTTGAGTTTAGTTACCTTAAAAAAGTAAAATGGGGCCAGTTTGAAGATGTTGATGATCCAGGGGAACGTCCTTTGGGAGCTGTAGGAGAACAGCACCACCTCCAAACAACATGCCATCATGGAGCAGTGGAAGATGTCCTGTTCCAGCAAAACCTGACAGCAAACACACATTTAAATGAATACAAACGCAGAGTTACCCCTACATATGCTCAGGCACGGCACTGCGCCTGAAATTCTAGCACCACGGCTATGAAATCAAACCCCCCCCCCCCCCCCCCACGTCCCGACGCACGGCACCGAAACGTTCCGTGCGCTATCACCCCCCTTCCTCGCTCTCATGGCAGCAAAACTGTCCGCGAATGCATCAGAAGATTTCACTGTAGTCGGTGTTCAAAATGGATTAAAGACAGGACAGAATATATAATCAATCAAATATAATATTATAATGCTGTGTACATGTATAGATACTTTATCGTACATTCTCACCGGCATGTAACTCTACTTTTTTCTCTAAATGCACCAGACTGAAAATGACCTAAATTTTCTAGGGGAAACACTGAAACGAGCACTAAAACACATTTTAATCAGACTCAGAATCAGACAGTCCTTGAGATAATTTTAGTTTTGCTTAAGATCTTCAAAAGAAAACTAAGTGTTTTAGCTAAATAATAACTTGTGATGCTCACATTTGTTCAGGAAGTCTCCCAAAATAAAAACACAGAAAGAACGTTTGTTTGAAACTGGCCGCCTGCAGCTAAAAGGCCAAAGCACCTTTTTCTGAACAAAGAGTGCTGCTTACGCTCATGTCTCTGCCCTGCAGCCGTTTGGTCTCCTGAACCAGAACGTTCTCCAGAACCTTGTAGTACAGGATTTTTGCCAGCTTCAAACGGTTTTCTGCAAAGTCTGAAACAACACAACAAACATGTCAGACAAGCCGACAGGCTTACCACTCCTAAAGGGTGTGTGTGTGTGTGTGCTGTACCTATATGAGAGCCCGGTGTGTCCTCAGAATCTTTGGTATAATGCTCTTTAAAGGTTTGTCCGAGAGTTTTCACCTGAGCCAGTAAGGACTCAGTGGGATCTCTGGAGCAGGACCTGCAACACGAACAGAAAATAAACAATAAACAAAACTTTCAAAACAATCTTTATGAATTTATTTATTTTATCCATTACTTGATAATCTTCTAACCTCCTGCTATAAAACACCTCCACGCTCTCTTGTTTAGTTTATGTTCCTCTGATTTGTTCAACAGAAACATACAAACAAAAAAAGGTTAAATAAGGAGACTGACTTGAAGATCTGGACCAGGTTCTCACTGGGGGACGTTCTTAAACCGGCCACCATGCTCTGCAGCCGGCTGACGCTCTGCGTGGCCAAGGAGACAGGAGTTACGAGCAGGTCCTTCTCCTTCAGGTAGACCCGCCCGGTCAGAGGGGTGGACGGGGCCAGAGAGCTGGACTGCACACAAGGGAGGAGATATTATTTAGTCTTTGGTCCTGTAAGAGCTCCTTAAACCACAACATTCACGCCGTTTCTTGTTCGTTAGCTGAAGAAAGCTACAGAACAAAATGCTGAAAACCATTCCTAGAGATTAGGCTCCAAACGGGTGTGATTTAAACATCAGTCCTGCAGATCTGGAACAGCAACTCACCCCCTGTTCTACACATGCTAAAGGCAGCTAAACATGCTAATTTGGACTCCATAACCCGTAACAGAAGTCCACAAAGTCAAAGAGCCTTTCAGCAACAAGAACTTTTAGCTTGTAGCATAAAGAGAAGATTAACGGAAAACAGATGTGACTGTTTTTGTCCCACTCATCAACGACTTTCCTTTCAGAATGTTAAACAGCTGCAGTCGGCTGATTTGTTTCATCCAAGCTTTTAGCATTAAGAGAGAAAAATTTTAAAGTTTCTAAAGTGCCGGCGATATATAAAGAGAGATCTTCGGAAAGCGAACAGAACTTCAACTCAACACCACCTAACAATAAAGGAAGTATAATAAACGAGGGCCGAACATCTCCATCAGGTGATGGTGGGACCTCAGGGATCAGCAGTTCCATGTTAGTGTCTGCACCTTCTCCACGTGTTGTTGCAGCTGGTTCTGAGCAACCGTTTGGCTTGCAGTGCATTCCTGAACAATCTTCCTCGGCGTTCCGATTTCCTCATCAGCATCCGCTCCCAGGAACACACGCTCATCAAAATCTCCCACCGTCAGCACATACTCCTCGTACTCCCTGTTCAGGGCCTTGCTGCAGACGACAGCACACAGACAAAACAATCATTCACTAAAATAATTTATTTACTGCAGAAAAAACAAACACCAGAAGAAACTTCACAAGGAGACGGAACAATACGTATCTTGTTGCTTACTTGTTGTCTATGAAGTTCTGAGGATCTAACATTTCAGTCAGAAGGTCCTTGTTTCCTTTCAAAATCTGATTTACGCACAAAGAAAACAAAAAAAAAAATTTTAAACTATTTTTCAAAAACAACACAAATCCTGAGTATCAGCCGATATTTTAAAGTGAGGAAGATGTGCACCTGTTTCTGGAACAGTTTCTGCACGAACGGTTTGAAGTAGTGCTGCTTGATGCCTTTGGCCTCCACCACCAGCCCATCATGCAGCTCACACAACTTCTCCAACACACAAGGAGGAGGCTCGCCTCGAGAAACGTGGCTCTCGGCACGAAAAGAGGGGGGCAAACCTGCAGGAAGTCATGTGATCATGCCAACACTCATCAAGCAGTGTAACTGTTCTGCTGTAGCGAAAGGAAACAGCTTCTGCAAGAGGAGGAGCTTCATCCAACACAAATACTAAATCTGGCATCAAGAGTTGAAAGAGTTTAGAAGCTTCATCTGTGGCTTCATGCACAAAGATCTGGATGCATTTTAAAGATCTCCTAATGTGGAAAAGGTGGAAACTGAAAGAGGAGCTCAAAGTTTTACCTCTGAACACGGGGTTGATGAGATCCTTTCTGTTTGCACACAGAAGAGTGTTACCAAACACCAAGTCCAGGCAGCACAGCAGCAGGTGGTACGAGTTCACCAGGTCGTCTCCGATCATACGAAAGTTACCTTCAGAGACGCAAAACGCATAAATCAAACAACAGCAAAAATAAAATCCCACCTTTCTACAACAAGCTGATTCATTGATGTTTAGATATAACAAATTAGCTGTTTGTGAAGTTAAAGTGTCAAACTCAGCAGTAAGATTCTATAAACATGAGATATTTTGCAGATACATCAGCTGATTTGCTGACTCCAAGCAGAAAAGTTAAAGCTACGACTCTAAACGTGCAGCCCGAGTCAGTCAGCTGTTAGGTTTTATTCTTGGTACCTTTAGTGTAGACAAACAGGGTCCAGCAGAACTTGAACACATCACTGATGTGGCAGGGCAGTCGCCTGCAGTCAGAGGTAGGAGACAAATATGCCGTTGTTTAGTGACTCTGTGTTCCACTTTTAAAATTAAGGCACTGTTTGTGATTTCAGTCTGACCGGTGTGTGAAATATAATCCCCAGTTTAAGCTCATCCTTGTTCAGAATCAGAAAAGTTTCATTCAATGTTTAAAAATAGAATAAAGTTGAAAGAAAAGGCTTAGGCAGGGAGTAGCTAGGGGAACTTTCCACGTGAAGAAAATACATAGTTCTTGGGAATGTAGGGTCTAAAAAACCGTGCGTGCGCGTGTGTCATGCCTGTGCTTCCTGCTGCGCGGCTGACGTGGCGGATCACATCCCTGTGGATTCTGAAACAAGTCCATGAAGATGGGCTCAAACTTGCGAAAGATCACAGTGGAAACCTCAAAGTTTCGCTCCAGTCGGTCCATTCGCAGCCTGAAGTCCTGCGAGAGGTTGGACATGTCGGTCCACTTCCTCATCTTTGAGAAGAACTGGATCAGACTGTAAACAAGACAGAAAAAAGAAACATTAGGGAGCCTTTCAATGTATTTTACTAAGTGTAAAATGAGGGCTGTTCCGATCACCCCCCCAATCCAAGTCCGAGATTTTGAGTATCTGTCGATTCCGAGTCCCGATCTAATTCTTCGGCAATGCATTAGAAAGGAGAAAGAAAGAGAACACATCCAAGTTGTCTAATGTGTGGCTGTAATAAGCAATGCATGTTCCTGTGACTGGGCAGTTACGTCCCAATGGCAGGTTTGGTCTTTTCTGCAAAACACCAGAGAGATGCGTTTGTAATGATGAGAAGGAAACATACCGCACCTCCAGGAGACGCTAAAACCAGACGTTCGCAACTACAGACTGCTTTTTTATGTTTTGCTGAGACCTTTTACTCTTCATAAACAATTCTCTTTGCTTTTTACTACACACTTTGATGTTTGCTGGCTTCGTGTTTTGTCCGACGCATTGCTGTGAACTCCGAGTAATGAGCTCCATTTGGGGTGTTTGTCTTTAAGCTGGCAGAATAGAACTAAATGCAGACAGGTGATTAACTGCTGGGAACCCTGAAGAAAAAGACGGTTGTTTTTTTAAGAAGCTGTATCAGATTCACAGTGTTGAATGCAGTTCTGTCACTGTCTGAGCTGCACACACAACTCTTATGTTCCTGTCACGCTTTGCAGCTGATTTTCAGAATTTATTTATGATTGTTTTTGAACGCTGACAAATCGATATTGAATTGGCATGTGTCGTGTCGCGATGCATCGATTAAATGGTGAGTCAGCACATCACTACTTTTCCACCACATGAAATACCTGGTTTGCACATGTTACAAGTGTCTGTTGCATTGCCTCCACTGTCCGGTAGAAAAAAAATGTCCAAACTGCAGACGCTTTCACTCTCCTGAGGCGACACGTTAGCTTGGACCGGATAAGAGCATCCCTATTTAAAACTGCATTTGTTTTCTAGAAACCCCTAAGAACAAACCAGAACACAGAGATACCAGAATAAGGATCGTAGAGACAAAACATGTGTTTATAGCGCTGAACCTGAGTTTGGAGCAGCGAAGGATCCTGGTGAGCGAGACACAGTTTCCCTCCATCAGCCCTTTTCCCACAGTGGGAATGGACCCCTTCCTGCAGGCAGCGTACAGCGAGCAGGCCAGCCAGTGGACCACATCCCCCTGCAGACAAACAGCAAATCACTTTAATTGTCTTCACTCAGCATAAACAGCAAACTGGGAAACTAATACTCCACTATTTCCAGTACACAGAGCGACTCAGCAGATACAAGAATAGCTGCAGAAACAGCAAACAGAACTACACGGAACATGACTGAAAACCTATGTGCACATTTTAATTACTATGTTTGATTTTTGCACGCAAAATTCTGCCATCTTTAATTAATGAGACAGCTGAATGGTCCAATTATTTATAATTCAGAAGAGTTTAACGACTAGCATTTTATCATCTATTGGAGATATGTTTTTATAATACAGACAGACTATTAGTATTTTTGAAGGTCAATTTCTCAAACAAATATTTTTCATTAATAAATCAGAGAAGCAACCATTTCTGAATGACAGATAAACTCAAAGATAAACGGAGCATCTGTTTGGTTAGAGGCCTTATGTTTAAAAGCATAACTGAATCATTTGAGGTTAATTCAGTTTCCCCCTCTCCCCAGGTCAAGAGTCTGGGTGTCATCCTAGACAGCACACTATCCTTCCAATCTCATATCAATAGCATCACACGGTCAGCTTATTTCCATCTTCGTAACATTAATCGTCTTCGCCCCTCCCTTGATGTCCACTCTACTTCTATTCTTGTCCATAGTCTGGTTACATCGCGTATCGATTATTGCAACTCTCTTCTCTCAGGCCTCCCTCAGAAAATCCTCCGTAAGCTCCAGTTGGTCCAGAACGCAGCAGCACGCATCGTCACTAAAACTCCCATCTCTCATCACATCACCCCCATCCTCAAACAACTCCATTGGCTACCAGTGCACACCAGGATTAACTACAAGATTCTCCTTCTCACCTTCAAGGCCATCCAAAACCTCGCCCCTCACTACCTCACAGATCTCGTTCACATCGTCACCTCGTCCCGTTCCCTCAGGTCCTCCTCCTCCATTCATCTCTCTGTGCCCTCCTTCCGTATCAGCACCATGGGGAGTAGAGCCTTCAGCGGCACCACTCCCAAACTCTGGAACTCCCTTCCCCCTCTCATCAAGAACATTAACTCATTCACAGAATTCAAAAAACAACTCAAAACCCACCTCTTCATTACCACATATCAACTTTGAATTTTAGAGAGCCTTGTTTGTTGATGTTTACGTATGTTTACTTATTGAATGATTTGTGTTTTTATTCTGTACAGTGTCCTTGAGTGACCAGAAAGGCGCTTTTAAATAAAATGCATTATTATTAATAGGTAACGATGTAAACAAAGCCAACTAGCATCATTAGCTGTAGGAGGTTAAATTGTCAGGTACAAACTAATCTTTCATAATCTGTACCTAGATTAGGATTAGAATCGTTTTGAATAAAATAACCTTGTAACACCTCTCTGTGTGAACGTTTCTTTCCGTGAATCACCTTTGACCCCTGAGGATATAATCAGTGTTTACACCCATCCCTCAGACAGAAGTCTTCTAACAAACACTGCACAACTTTTGTTGATGTCCCGTCATTTTAGACGATGCTTCAAACTGACTGCACTACAGTTGTCTATGTTCCTGTCACACGGATTCAAAGGCAAAAACAAACAAACAAACAATTCTGATACTAATCAGGGTGAACAACAAAAATCAGGATTATATAGTGATTTCTGATACGATGTTAAAAGGAAACTGCTTTTAATTAAGATGTCAATAGTATGTATGAACAATAAAACTGATATTAATTGAAAAAGAACATCTGCTGCTTTGTTATCAGACTAAAGAAATCTTAAACATTGTTATTATTGGTCAGACCTTAAATAAAGCCGATCCATTTAAATAAAACGGATTTATTATTCACTCAGATGTCACTACCATGTTCTACCCATGGTTTTACCACAAATAAAAGACAGTCATAGTTGTTTTACGGTAAAATATATTTTACCTGGAAAAAATATTTCAATTTGATTATTTTTTATTATTCTTATGTAATTTCAGGAGGATTTTAATATTTGTTAATAATCAGTCAGTCATAAACTAAAAATAATTGTTTTGTTTTGTCCGGTTTTGTCTGACGTTTGCAAATGCCGTCGATCGACTGCTCGACAATATGTTTCTGTTCCTGGATGGAAGATTAAAAACAGGTCAGTTGTTGAATCCCTTTAATCTCAGTGTGTGTCAGCACTGAAATCCAGTTCTATGTAGGATGAAAGTTGTGGCTGATTAATTCGACAGTAACTTGTTATTAAAGAACATTATTCACCTCCAGAGTGTATGTGTTCCATATGGCTGTGAAGTTGTCCATAGCTTCAGTAGCGGTCTGTTCGTCCATGTTCAGCTCCTGACACAATGTCTCCAAACTCCTTCGGACTGAACTTTCCTCCATCCTGCCCGACTCGGAGTCCGACGACTCGTCACCCCGCATTCGTTCCAATGTACAGCTACAGCATCAAGTTTTAAACAACCCCCAGAGCCAGACGTTAACCAGCAAAACGCTGCCCTCTCCCAAACACCAACAAACAGGCTCCACGAGCATCCCACTTCCGCCTACAGTTCCCACAATGCAGTGCGTTGGCGCGAAAACCCTGCTGCTCTGACCAATCAAAGTCAAGACATGCGAAGCCCTCTCGCCCTCTTGCCCTACCCCTCTCGGTCTCCTTCAGGAGGTCGCTCCTAATTAAAACCACCTTTTTATGGAGTTACAGCTGTCTGAAATAATTAACTTTAAAAAGTAAAATTACAAAATATGCCGAGAAGTCGAGAAAAGAAGTATGCAATAACAATTTGGTAGCAATTCGTTAACTAACGTGCAGAGGGCAGTGTTCTGTTATTATAGAATTCCTGCTCATCTAATCAAAGGTTTAAAAAAGTGATTTTTTTTTTACAAAATACAATCCACAAAATCGGATTGAGTCTTAGAATAAAACGAATGTTACAAGGTGACCTTTTAAGTGTTCTTATTCCTATTGTTGTCTACAAAGGGAATGAGTTAACATATTATGTAGTATACCCTATAAAATACAATTTTTAGAACGATGCAGACTGCAGAGCCTGCCAAGAATTATTGTCTTTAATACTCTAAAATGTTAATGAAATAGCTGTTTAATAAAAAAAAAACAGCAATGCTCAAAACACTGTTAAAAAAACTTTGTTAAAAACACCAACAACATATCTATTTTTCTCTCCATGTCCAATTTGCAGGTTGGGGGCTATTTGTAGCTCTTGAAGTGCTTTTGTTTGGCCCCCACTTGCATTTCTAGAATCATGTGGCTCCAGATCCACCGGTTGCAAAACCTCTAAAAACCCATAAATATAACACAAGCTATCTTAATTTAAAGTAAAATAATTATTTATATAAGACATGTTTGGTTGTTTTATAGTAAATGGAACATTGTCCATTTAAAAGAATGAATGAACACAAACTCAAAACATTTTTGCTCAGATTCAGTTTATTGATGAATTAAGAGACAATAAAGTCAAACCCATAACCACATCTTTTTAAAAATATAGTGTAATAACAGCATAAAGGATGTTCACAGCAACACCACCAAATTTGTGATAGTCTTCATTATAAAAACAAACCTCTAACCGATGGTCTAAAGTAGCATTCTGCTAAACCCAACATACGTAGAAAGTTACCAGACTTGATTATTACAAGACTAAACACACCCTTAAAACCAGCTTTAAACTATTTTATTTCTAACTTCAAATGATTTATTGTTTAAATATTACAGTTAGTTTAAAGAGAAAGTCACCCCCAAATCAACTTTTTTTCTGATAAACTATATAAATGTGTGTCTAATCATGCTGTAGACACGTGTAGTCAGTAATTTTGCACTTTAGTGCATTTTAGTAAAAATTTAAATTTTCTGCCTAAAACTGTCAGTGTTGTGCCGTTGTCAGGTAAAAACTGTGCAGTGCAGTTAAACTTAAATCTGCCATCGCTATTGATTAAGAGGTACCCTAGAATGTTAGCTGGTACCATATGATGTCACAATGTCGTTGTGAGTCTGTGTGTGTGTGTATTTGTTAGCGGCTCTGCCCTCTCGGTCTGCTAGGCAACAGCATTTGTTGCAATTTTCAAACAGGAAGTGGGAGTGGAGTGATGCTCTGGTAGGGGGTGACTTGCTCTTTAAAGCTCTTCATGCAGCATGAATCACTAAGAGACAAACAAACCAAAAGACCAACATAGAACATGTGTTTGCATTTAGAGAGTGCTGTATCTGGAGTTATCTCTGGTCTCGATGGTCTTTATCAGCAGTTTGGGGGCAGGAGAGCTGCTGCTGCTGCTGTTGCTGTGGTAACCATTAGTACTCTTAGGACCTGGAGAGAAACAAGAACAAAAACTTGGACGAAGAAAAACAATTAACCAATTTACGAAAACAAACCAACAATATGATCTTTAAATGGACAGTTCTGGTCATAGGATAGTACAGTTTTAGGTTACTTACTGTAGTTGGAGATGGCCTGAATGTTGAGGATGGACTGTTGTCCAATTCTGAATAGGAAGAGAAATAAAAGACAAGGTAGCTATTTTTATTGGCTCCTACAAAAAATTAAATTAAATTAAATTAAATTAAATTTGGAACCAGAGTCAGTAAACAAAGTAATAACACATCTATTCTGTTTGGAATAAACTCCAACGCAAAAGTAAAGACCTTTAAAAAATATTTTCAAAGTTTTCCTCTAAAAGCTCATCACCAATCAAATGTACAATGTCCAATCAGGTTTTTATTGTACTGGTCTTTCTGCATCATTTTGTGTTCCAGTCTGTTTTCTACGTCCTCATTTCCTGTCCTACCTGTCCTCTTCTCCCTCCAGCAGTTTCCTGTAGGTGGCGATCTCAATGTCCAGAGCCAGTTTGAGATTCATCAGGTCCTTTAGTAGAAGAGAAGGTCCTTTATCTGTTACAAATCACTGTATGTTAATATTTCCACCCATAACCTTTCCTTCCTGACCTGATACTCTCTCAGCTGTCTGGCCATGTCCTGCTTGGCTCTCTGCAGAGCATCCTCCAGGTCTCTGGTCCGTGCTTTGGCTTCTTTCACAGCCATCTCTCCTCGTTCCTCAGCCTCAGCCAGCTGGTTCTCCAGACCGGCGCGCTAACGAGACAAGAAACAGTCAGTGCTGGATCTGAACAACGTTCCACCTGGACACATGTTTGCATGTGACTGCACCTGTGCTTTCACAGCCTCAATCTCGCTCTGCAGGCGGCTGATAAGCCGGTTGACCTCGGCCACCTCTCCCTTTACAATACGAAGCTCGTCTCCAAACTGGCTGGCTTGCACCGACATTTGGTCAAACTAGCAAATAAATGACAACAGAAATGTGCATAGCTTCAGATAAATGATATATCATCATCAAGCGCTTGCATTTTGTTAGAAGAGTGTCATTGCTGAGCATCTTTGGCCTTAGTTTGGACACTCTTTTGTACCTTGTTCTTGTACCAGGCCTCTGCCTCCTCCCGGCTGCGAGCTGCGATCTCCTCATACTGAGCTTTGACTTCAGCTACAATCTGCTCCATGTTGAGGCTGCGACTGTTGTCCATCTGCACCACTACTGAGGTGTCCTTGATGCTGGCCGCCAGCTCGCGCAGCTCCTGGTGCAGAAAAGAGGACACAAAAGGTTCTGCAACAAATGTGCGGTAAATTATGTCAGAAGCCCATCTGAGTCCACCTTGGACAGGCCAGAAGTCTGTCGCAGATGAACAACCATGCAGACAAAGGCTGTTTAGAATCTCCAGTTCATGCAACATACATGCTTTTGGACCACAGGAGGTGTTTCCATTACTCTGACCTGATGAAGCTTAAATGAACCATAGAAAACATTAACCAACATGTTGTTAGTTCATTTTCTCTACAGCTGTTTGATGGTTGAAATAAACTCTTTGATGAGTCACAAAATGAAAACGGAATAATGATGAAAAACAAACCCCAAAACCTCCGTAAGAAACAGAAAGAGTGGGATACCTCCTCATAGATGTTGCGCAGGAAGTTGATTTCATCAGTCAAAGCACCAACCTTGTCCTCAAGGTCCGCTTTGACCAGGTAGGCCGAGTCTACATCCTGGAAACACACAGACCCAGAGTCACAGCTTCTTAAAAGCTGTCTGTTTAATTGGATGCAATTAGCTGGAGAGTTTTGGTAGATGACAAAGTGTTTTAGTGCAATTTGTAGAAGTTAATCTGAAAATATTTTTACTACTTGATTCACAGTAAGGGTGAGAATTAATGAGGAAACAGATGCTCATCCGTTGTTTTCTGTGGGAAAACAACGGATGATTAATTCCTCAAGTGCTTCCAGATTAGAGGAAATGTTCCTGGTTGACTCATCGTGAAAAACAATAAACAGGATTCAGTTCCTCATTAGAAAGACGATAAAATGTTTGATGTTTTCAACACAGCAGCAGCTTCTATAAAACAATAATGTTTTAAGAATTTGCACCACTGCAAGAAAAACTGTTTATTCTATTAAAACGCACAGCCTGGCCAAAATAAAAGGTCACACACTCTACTATTCTATTGGACGCCTTTAGCTTTGATTACGACACACATTCGCTGTGGCGCTGTTTCGATAAGCTTCTGCAATGTCACCAGATTTATCTTCATCCAGTGTTGCATTAATGTTCCACCAAGATCTTGCACTGATGATGGTAGAGTCTGACCGCAGCACAAAGCCTTCTCCAGCACATCCCAAAGATTCACCATGGGGTTAAGGTCTGGACTCTGAACCACTCTTTCACTATCTGAGCCCAATAAATCCTGGCTTTGTTATCTTGGAACATGGCCGTGTCATCAGCGAGATGGAACAACCTGGTCATTCAGGATATTCAGGTGGTCAGCTGACCTCATTCTTGGAGCACATCCTGTTGCTGAACCTAGACCTGACCACCTGCAGCAAGCCCAGATCATAGCCCTGCCCCCACAGGCTTGTAGAGTAAGCACTAGGCATGATGGGTGCATCACTTCATCTGCCTCTCTTCTTACCCTGATGCACCATCACTCTGGAACAGGGTCCATCTGGACTCATCAGACCAGTTCTGATTAAGCGTTGGACAGTTCTTGACCCAGTTTTAGTCGTTTCTGCATCTCCATAGATGTTTTCTCTGCTTGATGCCAATGATCTGACCCTTCTCACACAGACTAACATCTTCTCCACGACCACCAGAGGTGTCTTTCCACATGGTTGTTTAAAAAATGAGAAGCAGCTCGTTGCACCAGTTGGGTTAAATAAATTGTTGCAGCTGAAGGATAATCGCCCTGCAGTAATTATCCAATAGGAGGCTCCTACCTGTTTGCTTAGTTAGATCCAGGTGGAGACTTTTTTGGCCAGGCGGTGCATATTAACAGTAAAAAACAGCGATTTCTGAACAGTTAATCGTTTCTATTTAATATAACATGAGAAATTCCCAAGTGTCTATTGGTTTTGTTGTTTTGGGAATGAGGGCGCAGTAAGGACAATGAGATGGGACAATAGAGCGGTTCATTTTACCCGCCATATCCATAGGGCGGAATATGAAAGGATGTGTTTGTGTCCTGACCTTCTTCAGGATAACAAAGTCGTTCTCCAGGTTGTTTCTTTTGTTAATCTCCTCCTCATATCTGTGACAGAAAGAGGTCAGAGAGGAGGGTTTAACGACAGAAATGCTACAGAACTCATCATCATCATCATTTACTTGTGTTTGTAGTCCTCCACCAGGCCCTGCATGTTCCTCAGCTCCCCGTCCAGTTTGGTCTTGTCGTTGTTCACCAGGTCCATCTGACGCCTCAGGCCCGCCATGTAAGCCTCGAACAAAGGCTCCACGTTTGATCGGGTCACACCCTGACCCTGAAGCAGCTCCAGCTTTGTCTCAAGCATTTTGTTCTGCTGTTCCAGAAAACGTACCTGAGGCAAGAAAGGATGAAAGAAAACCACAAGTTTAAACTTTTTGGACATTTTGACAACTTGTGTTTCATAAATAACTAAATACACAAAGACAAACCTAAATGTATGTTAAAATTAGGATTCACACAGAGATATTCAACTTTTTTTATTTCATAAACCCTATTTTCCTGCATAAATTTGTCTGTGCTGCAATTTAAACTTCTTTGTTTATGACAAATCAACCCAAGTAGCTTTCAATAACTTCATAGTAGATCAAAATATTGGCGCTATTTAGTGAAATTAAGTCTTGTCTTGGAGAAAGACGTGTCTGCATTAGGACAAAAGTAGTGAGTTTGTGTTTAAAACACTATAATATTAGTTTCTGATTAAATTTGAACAGTTCCCTGATAATTTATCTATTAATTCTGTTTAAACAGAAGTGAAAGGTGCATCATTCCAGCAGATAGGCCTCACTGTCAGCAGCGGATAGCAACCCATTTCTGCACAGCTCATGTTTCCTGCCTGCAGCCAAGGTTACAAAGCATGCATTCTGTTCCGAGCAGAATAAAGTCCCTCTGAGGCACCTGCACCCCATTCCTAACCGGATTCATCAGGTTACAGTCCAACTCAATGGGATGGAAATGGAACAGATAGCTTGAATATCCAGCACCATCGACTCAGGATGTAGGATGGTGTTTAAATCCCAGAGGAATTCTCTACTTTCAAGGGTTTAAATTATTTTTTTCTTTTAAAAAGTCAGACTGGGGATTGCATTTGTAATAAGAAGAGTTAATAAATGCCGCTACACTCGCTAATGGTGTTTACTTTCACCCAGATCAAATCCGGGTCCTCATCCTGTGTCAAGTAAAACTCTGTCCTCCTCTAACTGAGGACTAATTGCTTCTCTGCATGAGAGAGTCTGGTCTTTAAAGTTTCATTAGGACGGACTGAGTGGCGTCGAGTTACTCCAGCAGGTCGAGTTATATGTTGTGCAACCAACTTTGTGCATGATAATCATAATAAAATAATAAAAAAATAACTTGCTACTGATCATTTTTAAAGGTTTAACAATATGAACACATTCACCAAAAGCATTAAAAGCAGAACAAAATTGGCTTTATATAATTTGACAAACTGTCTCTTTTCCAGCTTATCCTGGTTTTTGTGTCCAACGTGAATCTCTGCCGGTGTGACACGTCAACAAAGCTGTTATTGTCAGCGTGTCACCCACTCCGTGAGAAAGCAGACGTGTTCCCTGAGAAGGGTATCGATGTCAAGCGATATCACTGAGCTGCTTCCTCCATCTGTGGAAATCTGGTCCAATCTGCATTCCTCAGGAACCTCAACAAGCCAACATTTACCGCTTCATAACCAGGAAGAACAGTCAGACTAATATTTATGTTAAATAAGTTTAGAGTTTACACATTCGCGGTATGACCAGTACAGTTACAGGTGACACTGGATAGGTAGCGCAAAAGCCCGTTTATGTCAAAAATCCGGCTCAGACTGAGAGACCATCTAAAGGCTCAGATACCCTCTGCAGATGTTCTGGATTCATTAGTTGATTAGAATGGGACATGTTGAGTCTAGAATGTTGAAACTTTGACTGTCTGAGATTTTGAATGCAGGGATTTATCAGCTGTAAGCCATAATCATCACAATCATAACAAATAAAGGCAGAAATTTCTGGCTTTGCGTGGAATGTCTTATGTGTTAGTTTAACCTTTGAAGTTAATTTACTGAAATAAATCAACTTTTGCACCATATTCTAAGATTTTCACCTTTAGAGTTGATTTAAATCTTCTCCACAGATTCTGAATATAATACCTGAAACTTTTACTTTTGTGATGTGATACAACACAAGTATTTAATGTTTGCTGTTTTCTCTGATTGCTAACTAATCTCCCTCCAACTGGAAAGCACACGTTTGCTGCGATCAGCATGAGCACCTGTAAAAGAACCGCCTCCACCGACCTGCTCCATACTCCAAACTTTAAAGGATTCAAAACTTGCATTTTTGTAACCGACTGTGGTCTGGTCACAACGCTCAAAATGAGAAATATGATCAAACATATAAAATCCAAAAAGACCTGGAATTTTTTTGAACAAGGAGTAAACATTTAACTTTTGCTTGAATAAAAAGTGTGAGAAAACAGTAAATTCTGACTTTATTTATCTTTAGTCATTGTCACTGTGTATTAGATAGATAGATAGATAGATAGATAGATAGATAGATAGATGATAGATAGATAGATAGATAGATAGATAGATAGATAGATAGATAGATAGATAGATGATAGATAGATAGATAGATAGATAGATAGATAGATAGATAGATAGATAGATAGATAGATAGATAGATAGATAGATAGATAGATAGATAGATAGATAGATGATAGATAGATGATAGATGATAGATAGATAGATAGATAGATAGATAGATAGATAGATAGATAGATAGATAGATAGATAGATGATAGATAGATGATAGATGATAGATAGATAGATAGATAGATAGATAGATAGATAGATAGATAGATAGATAGATAGATAGATAGATAGATAGATAGATAGATAGATAGATAGATAGATAGATAGATAGATAGATGATAGATAGATGATAGATAGATAGATAGATAGATAGATAGATAGATAGATAGATAGATAGATAGATAGATAGATAGATGATAGATAGATAGATAGATAGATAGATAGATAGATAGATAGATAGATAGATAGATAGATAGATAGATAGATAGATAGATAGATAGATAGATAGATAGATAGATAGATAGATAGATAGATAGATTGTGTGATCGGTCTCAGCTCCAGGTTCTCTACCTTATCGATGAAGCTTGCAAAGCGGTTGTTGAGGCTCTTGATCTGCTCCTTCTCATGGGCTCGGCTCATGGACAGGTTGGGGTCGATCTCCAGGTTCAGAGGGGCCAGCAGGCTCTTGTTGACAGACAGAGAGGTCAGTGAGGCCCCCAGACCCTGATGGTGCCCGTTGGTGCCAGCGTACAAGGAGCTGCTGCTCAGGGAGACCCCACTGAACCCCCCCTGTGCCGGAATGAAGCTGCTCAGCCTCCTGGAGCCGCCACTGCTCCGGACCGTGCTGCTGGAGCTGATTCGTTTGTTACGACTCAGACTCATGGTGAAGGAGGAGGCAGGAAAGAAGGGTTGAAATGAAAGGATGAAATAATGCCGTAAAATACTGAAAATAAGTAACTGAATGACAATATTTTTTAAAAAGAAGCTGAGGCGAAAATTTGGAGGCTGACAGAGAAGCAAAGAGTGAAACAGGTGAGTGCAGGATGTCCTCCCACAATGGAACTTCTCAGGTGTCTTCTGACCCTATAAAGCTTCCCCAGGGGGAGTCACGAGAGGAGGGAAGAAAGTGGATCACCACAGAACCTCAGAGGTTGTTTCTGATGTTCTAGGTCTGATGTAAAATCGAACATCTTGATGGTAGTTGTTGACATTTTTGTCACCATTTCCTGTAAAATTCATAAACTCTAATTGGAAAATAAAACCTCTGATGCACTTGTGTTGATATTCTGTCTTTACTTTCCTTGAATGTCTTCAGGCGGTTGAACCGGATCTGTCAGGCCAAACAGATGTTTGTCTTTTTGCATTTAGGAACTCAATATCCTTGATTTTTCATGGAGATCGGCGGAGGAATCCTCTTCTGGTCGGCATACGAGGAGGAATCGAAATAAAAAACTTCGAACGATTCTGGGAAAAACATTAGAACGGTTGGTCCCGGTTCCAATCGATGCTCGATGCCCAACCCTATTCTGGAATTGGGCTGAAACGTAAAATGTGGGGAAAGTGATGCACTGTGCACTTTCTGGATGCACTTTAGTTTCCCTTCAACATTATAATGTTCCTCACATTTTGATGTGACTTATAAAAGAGAAGAAGCAGCTGCATCAATCCAACCACACCTCTTTTATTTAAAGTCCATCGAGAGCATCTGGGTCCTGTTTGAAATGGAAAAATAAAGTAATGAGGTGAATTAAAAAAAAAATTATATCCATCCACTCATTCCTCACTAGTGTCACGGGAGCTGGTGCATTACCAGCAGACAGGCTGAGAGGTGGGGGACACCTGGGACAGGTCTCCAGTCCATCACAGAGACAACCACTGAATCACACCAGGAGAAGTTCAGCAATTAACCTAACATGCATGTTTTTAATTCCATGTTGTCGTTCTTTTTTAAAACACAGAAACGGTTTTGTTACCTGTTATTGACGCTACAGTTTCGCCGTCGGCCCGTTTCTGTGTTTTAAAAAAGAACGACAACATGGAATTAGAAATAACTCACAGCAAGAACACTCCTAAGATGCATGTTTTTGGTCTGTGGGAGGAAACCAGAGAACCAGGAGAAACCCCACAAGAGGAGAACACACAACACAAGGAAGTCATAGTCTGAGAAATAATGAACTATGAAACATCATTATGACTAAACTTCAGCGATGTGTATTTTCAATTTGTGGAATAATGCTAAGATGTGTCTGGACATGTCCATGGAGGTCTGTGCTCTTGTGTGCTGCTCTGGAACAGCTGGACTCCAGTGAAGGATGTGAATTTAACTGTCTGGTTTACATACATAACATGTTTTGGTATAAATTTTATTATTGATTTTAAAAATATGCTTGTGTTTTTCTTATATTTGTTTTGTCTACTTTGTTGTAAATCAATCTAATTTGTGTTCATAATGAATTGAAAAAATACCCATGCCAACTCGATGCAGAAAAACCACAGGCAGGATTTGAGCCTGCAACCCTCTTGCTGCAAAGACACTGCTACCAGCTGGTGCCATACAGCCCTACACGTAATCTTCCAACCGGTATTTATTTTTTAGAGTTTGTTAGGGGGCCCACTCAGATCCACTCAGGTAAACTTTTACCTGAATCAGTTAAACTAAGACAAGATTTAGTAGGAAGAACAGAAATACTGAAACAGTTTCCTTTTATTCTCCAACAAATAGTTGTTTTTTACAGTACGTGGTCAGAGGCAAACAAGATAAATATCAAATATGTATCATGTCATTTAGGTCACTGGTTGTTTTTGTATTTAAAAATAATTCAGTTAAAAACAAATGCATTTTGAGAGCGTTTACTGCTTCTTTATAAAATCACAAGTTGATGTGAAATTAAAAAATGAGATGTGATCGTTAAACCTAACGTTTCTTCTTCGCTGGTACTTTGGTTTCGGCCGGTTGTCCGTCCTTCTTAGCTCCTTTAGTCTGCTTTACTTCTTCTGGCTTCTTCTGTGGTCCTGTTGGTTTAAGAACACAAACCGATATGTGAACTCAGCCTCCTGTAAAACATTTATGTTCAGAAAATTGTTCATTTCTGTTCTTAGGGTTTTTCAGCATTTATTTTACCAGATAAAGTGAATTTCTCAAACTTCATCTGGTTAAAAGGGCCAGATAAAGGTACATGGGCTTTATTCTGTTAAATGACTTCACATTGGGGAAATTAAGGGAACCTTTCTTTGGAGTGGAATCAGCCTGCAGCTCCACCTCCACAGGATAATGGTCACTGATGCTGAGAGCCTTGCAGAGCAAAGAATGTCACAGAATGAATCTCAACACCGGTTCTGTTCTTTAAAATGTCACTAATGTTTAAAATGAATGGATGTTATAACTAAATAAATAAATCTTACTTCTTCATCCGTCAGTCCGAACTCTTTTTGAAAGTTGAAGGGTGCGGCTGAGTCGGGGACGATGGCGTCCAGCATGGCCTGTCCATACACCACAATCCTGTTTATAAAAGTTTCACAAAAATCAAACAGGTTGGTCCTAAATCCTTATTTAAATTTATTTAACTTTACTCATATTTTAATACAATTGCAGTAGTCTCTGGTTAGAATGAATGCCTTGTACGTGATTTGGGGGGGCGTCTGTTTCAGGGAACTAGAAGTGAGCCAGATCAGGGTTGAGCTTCAGATGACAAGAGTCTTATTTCCTGATATAAGGACATCTGTCTTCTCATTGGCTAACAGCAACATGACCTTACTGCTGACTGTTTGCTCTGCAGCGTTGATGTTTTATCTCCACAAATAACACAAGCCTGGAGGAGTTCTGCCGTGTGGTGGAGTTGCTAATGGTTAGCTTCTATTAGCCAAGATATTCTCTGCTGTTTCTTGGATACCAAACCAACAACAGCCTTCCCCGTTGTGGGCCAAGATGGGTGAGTCCATGAATGTTAAGTGACAGTGTGACATAGATCTGTCAGGATTTTCTAATCCTCGAGTTTCACCATCTGTTTTCCATCAGAAGCTAATGCAGGAGATAGGTGTAGGAGACTATTTTGATGTTCATACTGCATGAAACACTCAGAGTGACCCATCATAATCAGAAATAATCATTAAAAAACGTTTTTCATTAAAGTTGACCTTTCAAATCTTCCAGTGCGGAAAAAAATGGAGCAGATGCCTTCAGTCACCAGGTCAAGAACATTACAATTCCAGTCCTAACTGGTCTGTGGAAAAATTGTCTTGCAGGAAAAGTGGTCCTAGCATCAAGACATACCCGGTAAACGTCTAGTCTGAACCAGGAGCCGATACCATCAAGCAATGTCCCACAGAGTCTTCCTTCTTGTGTCAAAGATGAGGACGACAGCTCTCACCTGTCGTAGGTGTTGTCGTTCTTGTTACTGGCTGTGGTGTCGACGCTGTCGTCTATCAGCCAGTGAAAGGGCTCAGAGGAGATACGAATGGACTTTTTCTTCTTCTGGGACAGATATCGACCGTCTGCGTTGAAGTCTCCTAACAGCATAATGTTCTGGAAATTAAAATGAGAACAGTGAAATAGATGCATGACCAAAGCAAGCTAATTTTACACGAATACTAAACAAGTGACTGTTGTTTACCTTACTTTAAAAAGCTAAATCACGTTTTTCAATCTACAAAACTTACATCAGTGTTCCACTTCTCCCTGACAGCCATGACAACATCATAGAGCTCGTCCAGTTCCTTTGTGGAGTCTTCTGGTTTGGTGTGGACTGGGATCAGAACCAGGTCTTTCACAACTGGAGAAAAAGGCAGGAACAGAGACAGTCACAATAAAAAGAGGTGCTCTCGTCCATGCACCGACACAGATCCTTTCTGCTATCTATTATTTTTCAGGACTGGAGTTTTGATACACTGTAAAAACAGATTTTTATAGCCTGGGGCACTCCAGAGGTGGACACGCCCGTGCCGCGCCATCAATTTAAATAGAAGCCATAATAGTTAATGAGAGTGGGCACACGGGGGGCGCCGCGCCGAAGCGATGAAGATGGACGCCAGTCCTTTCTCAGGTGCCACGGCTGTTTACAACATTGTGGAGTACTTTACAACAGTCATTACAACGTAGAACGGCTTTACGGCACAAACCCAGCCGCAGTTTTAATAAAGTACTACTGATCTTAAAAATGGGTAAGTACACTATTTATTAGAATATTTTAACAAATTAGAGTCTCACAAAACAAGACAAGGCAAGTCTGATCACGTATAAACAATAGAGTCACTTCTTGCTTCCTGTTCAAGTCCCGTGTGATGTTGTGACTATCGCGCGACATTCCAAGAAGTGCTCAGTGGCGCGGCACGTCCTGTGTGACTACTTCACCTCTCAAAATCGTGGGCGCGGCACTGCGCATCTGCCTCCGGTGTGCCCCAGGCTTAAGAATATATAAAAATAAATAAATAAATAAATAAATAAAGCCAATTTTTAGACTTATTAATCAGATTTTTAGTCAAAACACAAAAGAAAACACTTTTCTCTAGAAAATAGCATTGCATAAAATAAGGTCAATATTCTTAAAAATTATCCAATTTTTCCCCCCCCCCCGAGTTAAAAAAAAACCTGCCAATGGGGAAGGCAACATTAGTTTATTTTGCTAGTTTTAAGAAGTCTAGCCAAGCAAGTTTGTTTACCCAACTGGCAGAATGTTTTCACTCTAAGAATTAGATCAGATTGCATCATATTTAAGAATATTTACCTTAATTTAGGTGATGCAATATTTTTTTGTTTTTGACTAAAAATAGGATTAAAGGTCTACAAATTAGGCTTAAAAATTTATTTCATAGAAATCAGTTTTTACAGGGTACAAGTGTATTTTAAGTGTTATTGGCTTGTTCTCAGGTGCATCAACTCTTGTATGGCTCGCAAAACAGTCACCTGCCATGAATAATGCTTAGAGTTTGTAGAAGGACCCAAATTCAAGCACTCAGAAAATATCTTGCAGGATTCATTAAGCAAGAATCAAAATATTAAAAAAAAAAACAGAGACCCAAAAGACCCAGAGAAAATCCGAAGATCTGGGAGAACTGAGACCTGAATGACTATGAGAGATTATAGATGGAGCCAGATGAGCTCAAAGCAAGGACAACTGAGGACATCTGGTGGCTGTGATGAAAACAAAATAGTAAAAAAAATGCTGTGGAGTTTTATTTGGAGACTTTAATAAAGCAATGAGAAGAACTCTCTAAGCAGGAAGTCTCTTTGCTGGCCCCCTTTAAGAAGGAGCTAGTCACAGATCTGGGTGTGAAGTTGGATGTGTCACTAAGCCAGAGACTCATATTAATGGAGTGGTGCGCTCTTGCCTTTTCCATCTTTGTCACCTATCCAGGATTAAGCGGCTAGTGTCGTGGGCTCACCTGGAGACTGTAGTCCACGCTTTTATTACTTCTTGGATAGACTACTGTGCAGGGTGAGAGCTGGGTCAAAGCACACCAAGATTCCTGACAGGTTTGGTGTGAGAAGCAAGCTGACCAAGAGAGTCTCTGGGAACCAGCTTGTCTGGGGCACAGATGAGGATCTCAGTCTTATCTTCATTCAGCTGAAGAAAGCTCCCAGCCATCCAGGTTTTGATAGTCTAAGCAGGTGTGTAACAGCTGCAGCTTAGACATCTCATGGGGCTTAAAGGAGATGTACAGTTGGATGTCATCTGCATAAAGATGGTAGGAGATTCCTTTGAAGGAGCTCAGGATGTGCTGAAGAGGAAGCAGATAGAGGAGGAAGAGCAGAGGCCCCAGCACAGAACCTTGTGGGACACCATGGGTAAGGGAGGTGGTGGAGGACCTAAACTTGGAGACACACAAGACACACAAGTCTCCAGGTGCTCTCCATGTCCAAAATGTGCGTAAGCAAGGTCCTTAGTCAACTTAAAGTTGTGTACATTTGTCCACTACTTTTTCTTTCATGAATCCCAAAGTTTGCGTGGACAGTTGCTTACGCAGTTTTCCGACCCTGTTTCGTGCATAAGCAAGCTTGATAAATGAGGCCCCTGGTTATTCCATCTCCCTGATGGCACGGCCATGTTCCAAGATGACAAAGGCAGGATTCATCGGCTCAGATAGTGAAAGAATGGTTCAGAGTCGAGACCTTAACCCCATGGTGAATCTTTGGGATGTGCTGGAGAAGGCTTTGTGCAGCGGTCAGACTCTACCATCATCAGTGCAAGATCTTGGTGGAACATTAATGCAACACTGGATGGAGATAAATCTGGTGACATTGCAGAAGCTTATCGAAACAACGCCTCAGCGAATGTGTGTCGTAATCAAAGCTTAAGGAAGTATTAGGGTGTGTGTGACTTTTTTTGGTGGCGACTTTCTTTGGCCAGGCAATATTACGCATTAAAAAAAAAAAGAATGAAACAAACAATACCAGGACAATACTAAAAATGTCCATCATTTTTATGACTAGGCCATATGTGCATCTTTATGACCGAGGGCCCCTTTTCTCCTTTACAGCCTCATAAGTCAGAGTTTTTGTGGATTTGCTTCAGGAATAATTGTAATCATCTTAATTGGGTTAAATGCAGGTGTTTTTATTCTATATGAGGATGATTTGTTTCTGGAAACAAACTTCCAGTGGTGCTGCAGAAGATTTATGCTCAGAAATGAATCTTTCTTTTCTCATCCAGTCATTTTCAGTATTTCCCCATCAAGAGTCGGCCACTCAACACCTCAGACAGACATCTAACCTGCAGATCCTGGTTGCATCTCAAAATTCATGATTGTACAAAAAACCACCTGCCTCTTATCTAAGTCACAGTGGAGTACTGGAACTTCCCCTGATTCCATATCTCGACTCTGGCCTTGAAATAATCAGAATCCACCATGTGAGCGAGTGAACATGGATCCAATTAAAGAAAATACATTAATCACCCATTCCACCACAACTCTGGGATCTGGTTTATAATGTGTCGCTGAAGCAGCAAACCTGTGTTGGGACAGCTGAAGCGCAGGACGAAGGGCTCTCTGGCAAACGCATCTTCATCTCCGGCTTGGTTGTCTTCATACTGATACTTGTCCTCCAGGGTCACCTCGTCCGGTCTGAGACACATGACAGTGAGAGACGTTTGTTTGTGACGCTGCAGGAGAACAGCAGCTGTAAAGGTGTCAGAATCAGCTGATTTACGTGATGCTGAATTAGCTCCCACCTGTAGAAGCACACAAACTGCTCCTTGTAGGTGCTTCTGCCCAGACTGTGGCTGAAGACCATCTCATATTTATGTTCTCTAATGAAGGGAGAAAAGAAAAGCACAACAAACATCAAAATCTGAATTTTAATGATTGGTAATAAGAATGATCCTAATGAATAATTTGAACTTTTCACCCACGTGGACTTGTTGAGCTTTTGAAGCAACAGATCTTTGGCTTTTCCACTTTTATCCACCACCTCCAGGATCACCACCACGCTGTACTGAGACATAATCTGAGAGAAACACGACCTTATATCACCTCTGTCATATTTCTGATTTTCCTATTTGTTTGGTGAACAAGTACTGAAGCATGTTGCATTCACTGGAATAAAACAAAAAGACTCTGTCTGTCTGAAGTAACATTAAAAAATGAAACCTTTAGGATTTTTCTTCAAGTGAATGCAATAAGCTTCTATAAATATGCTGCTGTTAAAAAACAATCATCACCTTGGTGAGATGGCTGGAGACAGTGCTGTTTGAGACTTTTTGATATCCCAGGTTCTTTCCATTGAAGGATGCGACTTTCATTTTAACTTAATTGAAAAAAGATAATAAAAACAGCATTTAGAAGGATGTAATTAAAGATAACATGACCAACACTACCACACAGGTTGACCTTCAACAGCATGAGAGGGTATAGATCTGACACACACTAAAAATTATTACTGAAATGATGAATAACATTTTGAAAATTGTGTTTTTGTTCCTGATTACTGAGAGCTCAGTCATTCAGTCCAACCCAAAACAAGAGTGAGGAGCAACATGAGAACCTTGAGGGGGTTGCCTCCTTACTGGTTAATGAAGGTGACGACAGAAAATAAGACACAAGGGAAGAAATGATCGACCAAAACGTTTTGTTTTCTTAAACTGAGTCTGAAATGTCTGAAAAACTTGTTTTTTCCCCAGAAGGAGCCGTTTTTAAGGGATAGTGAAAGCTGACAGGTTGGGGCAGGTGTTGGGTGTGTGTTTAGGTGTGACAAGAGGAGGCTTGCCCAGGGTGGCATTTATGCAGAAACTTAAAATATTTACAAATATATGTAAAATATAACTTTTCTCCTCTTTTTTTTAAAGCACCAAGCTGTGATTTTGTGCTTTTTGATATTATTCTGATTTTTCAGGTTAAAGACCAAAGCCAGAGCCACATCCTAGACCAGAGCCCAGGGCAGCTACTTTTCCTTACGTCTGTCAGCATGCATTCCCAGAAAAAGGAATGGGTGAATATTCCTAGAAAGGAAAGAAGAAAGGAAAACAAAAACATTCCTAGAAACTCTAGGCTGGTTGTGTGTGGCATGAAGAACCTCGTGTGGAATCGTTGCACAACCTTAGAAAAACATTTTAAGTTCTTGATTTTCATTAACTTTAAAATAAAGTGTGATCAAAGCTTCATTTGGATGAAGGGTGCTGTTGATGGTGTGTGTGTGTGAAATGACTCATTGTTCAACTGTCAAACTTGTTTTGCAACAAAAGATGTTATCTGTTACAAGTATTTGTTTCACTTGGCAAAATTTAAGGTGGTATGACACAAAAGCCTTAAATTGCATCAAAACTGTACAAAAATACAAAGTAAAACCCAAAATTCAAACTAAATGATATTTCTGGCTCCAATATAGAGTCATGAACAAAGAAAAGTACTGGAATGTAATAGAGCTGGAGTAAAATATTACTTACTGGTGCAGTTGGAGCTTTGCTCTTGGCTCGGTTCAACAACTAGTGACTACAACAGCTGTCAAACATTAGGAAGTGTTTCTGTTGGCCACGACCACACAGAGATGCAAACACGCCCAGCAGCATGTTATCAGCTAGAGACCCTACTTCCTGTCTCTAAACGCAGCCATAGCTTTCCGGATCTGAGAATCTTCCCGCGACACATCAAGTTCCTCTCATCATCTTAGGAATGTTTTTATTCATTCATTATGTCGTTTTATCAAATAGACTTCAAACCTTTGAACAACAATCTCTGATTTTCATGTTAGTAAAGAAATGATGAGGCAGCAGAGAGGGCAAGAGGAAGTGAAGCAAATTAATAAACACATCCAAACGTACTTTCATTTTTACCGAGGAGATTCATGCATTTGTTTAAATTTTCGCAGAACATACACTTTAATCTGCTGCAGACTCTTGATGGGGAAATACTGAAAATGACTGGATGAGAAAAGAATGATTCATTTCTGAACATAAATCTTCTGCAGCACCACTGGAAGTTTTTGTTTCCAGAAACAAATCATCCTCAAACATATAGAATAAAAACACCTGCATTTAATCCAATTAAGATAATTACAATTATTCCTGAAGCAAATCCACAAAAACTCTGACTTATGAGGCTGTAAAGGAGAAAAGACGCCCTCGGTCATAAAGATGCACATATGGCATTCCTTTGTTAACTTCCTGCAAATGCACCCCCAGCATCATATTACACTTCCTGTCTGAGATGAACAGAAAAACAACAACAAAGCAGCTAAACTCCCACCAAACCTCTCACCGTGTGGCTGGAGATCAAACAGCTTTAACTGCTGCAAATAAAAATATCAAACATAAAAATACTGACTGGGAATGTCTGTGCCAGCTCACCAATGATTCATTATTAGATGAATAACAAACAGAACAACAGCATAACATTTAATCATTAACAATTTAATTTAATCAAGAAAAATGCTTTCCTGCTTAGTTAAGTTCAGTGTGAAGCTGATTAAAGCAGGTTTTTGCTTTACACTTAGAAACGTGACAATAAATCACTTTTAAAGTTTAACCTGGCAGCCAAGTGTTTTCTCCTCTGATTTACGTCACTCACAGATTGAAGGCTTCAGCTGGATCTAATGTGCAGAAATACTAAATAAAATGTAAAATTAGGACACTGCTTTGTATGATTCAGGCCAGCGTTGTTTTCCACTGGTGGAGGCAGAATGTTTACAGAGCACCACAGAGAGGAAAAGCAGGTGTGTGTGTGTGTGTGAGAGACCATTTGGACCAGTAATAATAAGGAAGTGAATACTTTCAAATGTGTAGAACAAAAGCAGAAACACAGGACTGGACTTTACAAAATCTAATACTAATTATGTTTCTAAACAGCAAAATGAGCATAAAGTTTATTTTTCATGTGGGATTAAGCAGACGTCCAACTCAGACTACAGATTACAGACTGAGCTCCATCACTCTGGACAACATGCTCTCATCAGTCCAAATGTCTAGCATGTTTGTTATTATTAAGGCTGTGGTCATTGTTTTAGGGTCAAGGGTCACTGACAGGTGGGTGCATCCGTCCAGGTCACTGCTCATTCTGCTGTGTGTCTGCGATGGTGGAGACGGCGCTCTGGCCTTTGCTGACATCACTAATACACGCCCACTGACCGTCCATCGATTCCTTCCACAGCGTCACCTACAGGTAAGGCGATAAAATAAAAAAAAACTTCAAATAATTAACAAAACACACCTGGAAGTTTTAATTTACTAATTTTAGAAGGTCAAACATGGAAGGTTGTGATAGGTTGCACCTTGTTGTCTCCACCAGAAACAGCCAGTATATTTCCAGTGATGGACCAGCTGACGTGCCAGACCACGTCGTTAAACTTGTGCAGCAGTTTGGCCGTCCATGTGTTACCTGCGGGGTCGTCGCACGTCCATATAAACACACGCCCGTCCTGAAAGAGATGCAGAGACAAATAGTTTAGTTTTCTAAGAGAAACTTTAATTCGTACTAAAACCTAATCTGACATTTTATAAAGCAGAGACAAGCTTCTAAACAAACGTTTAACTTAAAGGTGGCATATGGAACAGTTTAAATAAAAAGCTATATTTACAAAAACAATACCGCCACAGGTCGTTGAGAGGTGTGCAGAATGAATGTAGTTTCTCCTTTAAAAGCTATATTTAAAAAAAATATGTATCACATTTTTATTCTGTCGGGCACAACGCCGGGTTTATGTTTACATCTACCAGCCACTGGGCACCATTAAGCTAAAGCACCCGCTGAGCAAGGCGAGGCTGGGACTGTGTAAAATGGCTGACTTGACAAGTCAAGCAGCTGATTCTGAGTCCAGAAGATGTTCTAATGATGAATAATAAACTCATTAGTAGAAATTAGTCTATATTCTGTACGATTTGTCTCTAAACACGGTGCTGGAACATGTCAGCAGTGAACCAACATCCCAACGGCTGGAAAATTAGTCCTGTTGTTGCAATACCACCAGAGTGTCCCTATTCCATATTTAACATTTAATTTCTCTAAATATTTTCTGAAACATGTCATCTATGGCTCCACCTGGTGATGAGGTGAAAAATTCAACATGAGATTTCTTTAGAAATACAACCTGCCCCCCCTCTCTTCCTTTTGTATCTTTCTTTCTCTTTCACCTCTGACTCCGTGTCTGGTCGGAATTACAAAGCATTCAAAAACAATAACAATAAAGTTTTAAGTACCAGGTGTGACATTAAAAGCAGACGCTTTGATGCTCCACCTGAGAGTAAATCTGTAAGGCTTGTCACCAGCATTCAGACATCAATTCTGTTTGCTTCACAGCCAGACAGGACACGGGGGGGAAAAAAAAGAAAAAAAAAGAAATCGGACCTGGGAGCAGCTGGCGATGGTGCTGGTGGGAAGACCAATAGAAGGAGCCCAGCCGACGTCTCTGACCCAATCACTGTGCGCCTCCAACTTCTGGTCCTCTTTCCACTGACCGTCTTCCTCTCTGCAGGCAGAACATTATTCAGGCCACAGAATATTAGCTACATCTGACGTTCACTGTTGAAAGTGTTCTTTTTTTTATCCATACAGGATGACAGATTTTCAACAGCAACTTACTTCCAGAGTTTCACCAGGTTGTCACATCCGCCAGAGACGAAGCGTTTGACGTAGTTTGGTTTCTGACCTGATGGCTGATTGATCAGGCTGCCTGGAACTACAGCAGGAGCCCAGCTCACTGCATTACAGCCAATCTGAAGCAAAAAATAAAGCTTTTAATTATTCTAAAGATACACTTCACGCCCCAAAAGACACAGAAACACTAAATTAGAAAAGGTGAGACAGAATAAAGTTTAAAAGATTGGTGACAACTTAGGAAAACCATTTCATTTTTAACTCACGGTGTGTGCGTTGCTGATCTTCTTGACGTCCCACTGCTGATCACCAGTAAATGTGAGGAGGGAAATTGCTCCATCTGAACTGCCACAGGCTAGGATTAGACCAAATTCATACGGACCCCAGCAGACTGAATTCACTGCAAACACAGAGACAGAGTTAAGGACGAGATCAAGTTGTGTGGAAAACTATTCAGTCAAACTGATCTCTCAGCCCCAATATATGAACATGAATTTCTTTGTAATTTCTTAAAAAGGAAGGATCAATTAGAAAGGGAAAAAGAAATGTACTCAAACAAAAGAGAATGTTGTAGAAACAGAACTTAATCTGAATATTTCATTTTTCTAAAGGTGTTGGCAAAAAAAAAGAGAACATATCTGAAACAAGACGTGTACTTTGGTGCATTACACTGACCTGTCGGGCAGAAGAAGAAATAAAATTACAACATTAAGATCAAAACATTTGTTATCTGTAAGAAAAACGGAACTTCTTCCAGCATTACTAGCACCTGAACTTCTTTCAAGAAGGCCACATGGATTAGCAGAATGAGGAGGAGGAGCACATTTAAACCACTAGAGGGATATTCAATTCCGGTCCTGGAGGGCCGGTATCCAGCACATTTTAGTAGTTTCTCTGCTCTAACACACCTGATTCAATGGTTGAATCACCTGTGCAGCAGCTCATCTGGCTCTGCAGAAGCCTGTTAATCACCTGCTGATTGAAATCAGGTGTGTTGAAACAGTTAAAACTAAAACATAATGGATACTGGCCCTCCAGGCTTGGAAATGAACACCCCGGCACTAGAATAATGGAGAACTCTACCTGATGACTCGTGTCCAGTGTACTCATACATCTTGTCCCAGGTGCCGTTCTCCTCCTTCCAGATGACGACTTTGCGGTCGTATGAACAGGATGCTAGAATGTTGCCGAACATTGGATGAGCCCACGCCACCTGCCACACAGGGCCCTCGTGGCTACATGATGCAGGACACACACACACACAAATAAATAAATAAAAATACATTACAGAACAGGTGAAGATTAAATCTTTAGGAAATAAATGGAAGTGTATTGACATTCACTTGACAACTCTACTTACGTAAATTTCTGTGCATATTCCAAAGCTTAGATCTCTTACCCTCTGAGGTCTGCCACCAGGATCTGTCCACCATTGCGGACGTCAAAGATCTTAACGGTGCGGTCAGAAGAACACGTGGCGAGTCGAGTCCCGTAATAGTCCATTTGGGCATCATGCTGAAACAGACAACAAAGCAACACCAGGAATGTTGGTGGGGATTTCTATGGGGCAGCAAAAGCACCAAACAATGGAAGCATGACACCTGGTTTATTCATAAATGAACTGATGGTGCTAAACTGAAACCCATTCCTTAAATCTTTCACCATCACATAACAAATGTGCGGCATAAACTGCATCATTTGAATGTTTGTTTTGGTTTTGATTTCCTTAAATTGAAACATTGAGAACATGATTAATCTTATCTTTTTAGGGAGAATGTGAATACGTGAATGATTTCGGCTAGATTTTCCCTACAACTAAAACGAAAATGCAAAACACGCCGATTAAGTGAAGTTTAAAGACTATTTAACAAATTTTCACAGTCAACACTACAGAATAATCCACATAGCACTGTTTCTGTAATTATTACACTATAGCATCTGGTACAGTTAAGACAAACATTTTGACTGAACGATCTAAAAGCACTAAACTAATTAAAACAATGTGCTACTCCTTTCTCAAAACACACATCCCAACAGTATTACATATTTAAATTAAAAACTGCTGCTTTACACAGAACACTTACACTTGTGGTACTGAATGAAGATAAAAGCTACAGCCGCTAACTGTTAGCTTTTAGCATCAGAGATAAAAATAAAACTGGATAAAACATAAACACTTACGATCATATCCTCGTGTGAAGTGTCCACCGTGTTTATAACGGAAACCTGCAATTGACAAACAAATAAGAACAAAATCAAGCAAATATAAAACTATATCCAGACAGATTAGCCTCCTGCCGTTAGCGATCGTGCTAATGGATTGACAGCTACCAAGACTAGCCAGCAAAATGTAAACATAAAATCAACATCCTAGAATATTTTGAGCTGAAACTAAAACAAAAAGTGACGAAATTCACCATGGCTGTGGCTAAACCGTGTAAACAAGAAGCCCCTGTTCTCTATCGACTAACTTCACAAGGTTCACAATTCCGACGTGGCAACAAGTACAGAAGCCGTTTCCTCCACCGAGTCCCACCTCACTTCCTACCGGGTAAAACAAAACGCCAAATGATAGTTCTGCGTGAATTAAAAAAGAAGAATAATAAAAACTTTAAAAACGCTTCATTTAACAAACAAACAAACAAAAAATAATCAAACAATAAAAAGGAAACAGTTTATTTGAGCTAAAAGCTAAAATTATTGATGGAAACTTAAATGTACAAAGACCCTCTATACATAGAATAGAATAGAATAGAATACCTTTATTGTCACCATACAGGTGTAAAGTGAGATACAGAGCATCTCCTACTCAGTGTAAAACAAACATACTTGGGACACACACACACACACACACACACACACACACACACACACACACACACACACACACACACACACACACACACACACACACACACACACACACACACACACACACACACGCACACACACACAGTACATTTACACCTGTCTGTAATCATATTATAATTACTAATAAAATAGTAACATGAATTCACGTAAACAAATAGAAAAAGACAGAAAACAGAACACATCGATACATTACATTCCCTTTATCATTTCAATACAACATTAAAACAAAAAAAAAACATTATTTTAAGAGGAACAAGTGCTTCTTTTTCAGGTCTCCTAAATATCAACTGGTAATAATAGTCAATTTTTGAAGATGTCTCTCAGATTGTGATTTTTGGACAGCAAATTATCACGTCGTTACCCCAGATGACCACAAGGTGACGCCATAAACCCACAATAGTCTGACCTGACAGCTGTTTTTATCCTAACCCACCAAGGACCAGGTTCGGCCTTTTACTGAGGTCCTTGCTGCTGCAGATGAGGGCTCAAGCAATTCTGTATGACCCTCGCTACATAGCTGCAATAAACACGTTCGTCTTCCTTAGCGAGGCGCTGATGGGTGTGGATATGAGGCACCAGACCACGGTAACACACACACACACACACACACACACACACACACACACACACACACACACACACACACACACACACACACACACACACACACACACACACACACACACACACACACACACACACACACACACACACACACACACACACACACAAATTATTCCATATAAATATGAAATATCAACCTGACTGATCTTTGAATGTTTAATCAGAAGAATATAGTTACTTTTACTTGTTCAGGGACCATAAACACACTTTGTATTACTGTAATTCAGACAGAGTCAGGTATATAGTTTATGAAATTAATTTAATTCTTTTACAAAATTAATATTTATACATGACAAGATATGAATAACGAGATGCGATATTGTGGATGTGAGGTGATGTAATGTGATGTGTGAGGTGGTAGGATGGAAGCTAGATGTTTTATCAAGCCCACTGATAAAACATCTTATAGCCCCAAATTGCAATTTTATATGAAATAAATGGTTTATTGACAAGCAGCACACTTACATATTTATCTAGTTAAAAAAAAGTAAATAAATTCCCACTTGCAGCACTTGGATCCTCCACCAGAGAGTAGAAGATAAACAAGATGTTCTTTTTGGGTTATTTACATGAATCACATTTTTGGTTTATGTTTTTTCTCCTCACAGTAAAACATCATTTTTTTCTTTTCCTTCAGCTGTTTTATTTTCCCATTTCCTTATTTTCCCTTCATCTTTCTTCCTCTTCATCCCTCACCCTTTCCTCTAGGCATCATCTTCTCCCTGACAGACAAGTCCACCTCCTCCACCATGAGGATCGATGCTCTCTCCTTTAACGTCCTCCTCCTCTCACACCCTCCATGAACCTTTTAGCCACACATGCAGGTTCTTCTATGTGGTTCCCTTCAGAACACGTTGAAGCTGAATCTACGTAAAATAAAAGCCTGGCTAGTGTCACGGTCTGCTTCTGCGTCTCCCCTCATGTGTCTCCTTGTGTTCTCCCCCATCTCTAGGTTCTCCTATTGTGTCTCCTAGCGCCCTCATGTTGTCCTTGTCTGCATCTTCCTCACGTGTCTTCTTGTGTTCCTCATTTGTCCCCAGATCTGCAGCCCTCTAGGTTTCCCTCCCCAGGTATCCCCCTCCCAGGTCCAGTGCTCCCGTGGTCCCCCTTAGTCACGCCCCTGTAGTTTTTCTTTCTGTAGTGTTTTCCTTTAGTTTCAGCTGTTCATTTTATTAGTCTCTTTAATGCGTTTTTCCCACAGGTGTTTGTGGTTTTCCTCCCCATTAGAATATTAGTTATGTTTGCTGCTCTTCTTGTCTTTAGGTTTTACTCTTAGGTTATGTTAGTTTCCTCCCTGATTAGTTAATTGCTTTCACTTGGTTTCTCTCCCCACACACCTGCAGCTCATCTCCCTCTCATCCTCCCCAGTGTATAAAACTCTGTCCTTGTCTCATAGTTTTGTCGGTCCATTGTTTGTTTCAGCGTTGTTTTGTCCCCCTCCACTTGGTCTCTAGGTTTGTGCTCTTTAAGTGAGCTTTGGTCTCCAGGATTTTAGCACAATGGTTTTTTGGCTTCCTTGCCCCTTTGGATTTTGAGCTTTGGTCTCCAGGATTTTAGGACATTGGTTTGTTTTTGGCTTCCTGTCCTTTTGGATGTTTTGTTCCCATCCAAATAAAGGGATTTTACTTTACAAATCGCTCCTGCCTCGTGTCGTCTAGTGTTTCTGCATTTTGGGTCCTACTCCTCCTGCACTCATTGTGACAGTTAGAGGCCACTGAAGACCAAACTTCTGATTGGGTGTCATCTGGTTACGTCTCCTGCAGGTTCTGCTTCCTTCTGTCCTTGCGTGTGTGGAGGACAGCTTTTATAAGATAAGGCCCCAGGCAAGTTTTCATCAGGAGTTTAAAACAAATTCCCTTTGACAATTCTTGATTTAATTTGTTTCCAGGAAACTACTTTGCTTCACCTTATTTTAATGTGTGTTGGTTTCATAAACAGGTTTGGCAGAACCTGTGAGTCGAGAAGGAGTCGGGCTCCTTCAGAAAATCAATTAAAGCAAAGAAAAAAAGTTTTATTCTTGCAGACTTTGTTTTGTCTTTTGTTGACTTCATTTTATTTGTTCCTGTTTTCATCCTTCTGTGTATTTGCTTTGGATCAGCTGTTGCTTGAGTCCAGATGTGTTTTATTTGGTCACCTGTTCTCCATAAAACTCTTACTGAAGGTGTTTTCGGGAATGGTGAAGTGGTTCAAAGCAGCAGACATTGACCAGGAAGTGAAGGAAAGAGCCATTTCCTGCATGGGTCACCTGGTGTGTCACCTTGGAGACCACCTGGGATCGGAGCTTCAGGGAGTCCTGGCCATCTTTCTGGAGAGATTAAAGAATGAGGTAACAAGGCTAACTACCGTTTGAACCATCACCCTCATTTCTGCTTCCCCGTTAAAGGTTCAGCACACAGATTACTCAACAAAAGACAAACTAGAGACCTGAAAATAACTTCCCATCCTCTTCAGGTTGACCTGTCCCCCATCCTGCCAGGGGCTCTTTCTCTGTTGGGCTCCTTCCTGAGGAAGAACCAGCCACCTCTGAACCTCGCCATCAGTCTGCCAGCATCAAACTGGCAGCTCTGGAGCCTGTCCTGAATGAGATTTCCCCTCTGGTGGATGAGTGACATGAACGTATCACAGGTACTCGCTCTTAAATCACAGTTTGTTTTGAATGTGGAGTACCTGTGAGTAGTCAAATATCTGCACATGTGACAATGAAAGTGATGCAGCCAGTGTTTCCAGCTCAGCAACTTTGTTTTTATATAGCAAGATTTTAGACCCAATTTTCATTGAAGCAAATAGCAACAAATCTAGCCATTTTTTTGTTTTGATTGGAGAATTATACTGAATGCTATGAAGGCAAGTCTCACCATCATTGCCCTGACTGCAGTACGATCTGCTGGTGGCGGCTTAGCGCTGGCGCAATTTACCTGTAAGCATCTCCTCTGACAGCAGATGGGCTGCAGCACGATACATGCTTCATGTCAGAGTCAAAGCTAAATTCTCCTCATTTTGGCCCATTAGGTTAATGTAGATTTTATCCAAATAAACATGTTTAAAGGAGTTCACTGTTTATGGGACCTTTAGCTGGGCGTACACTGAGCGACTTTTTCACTTTTTTGAGCCGATTTTCACCGTGCGAGAATCCACAAGATCGGGGCGAGCTTTGTGCTGAGCATTGTGTAGTTTACAGGGGGTAACGAGAGACGATTAACTCCAATCAGCAATCCTGAGCTCGCACGGACTTCTGGCGTGTTTGATATTTTTCTCATCCCTCATGGGGTTGGAGTGGCGCTGTGAGCGTCTGTGACCCAAAAAGTACTACAATATGGTGTCAGATGGGGGCCAAAACCCACGACGCATGCGCAATCGTGTCAACAGAGCACGCCAGTGTTTTCTCAATAGAGCTCCAGCAGTTGACGTCACTTCTCCCGGCATGCAACAGTTCAAATTGAAACGGCGCCATATTGGCAGGCAGAAGCCCACAGCTGGACTATGTGTTGTTGTCAGAAAACTCAAATCAAACGGGAAATTTGGTAGATTCCTAATGTGCCCCAGGATGCAGAACAGACACGGACGACATAAGGAATGAGCCATCTACAGGATTCCCCAAGATCCGGAATGCCGCAAACGTTGGATCATTGTAATAAAACGCGCTAGTGACCGGGCTAAAATGAAACTGTGGGATCCCGAGAGTAAAGGTTTTTGCTTATGCAGCGACCACTTCATATCAGGTACTTAAACCAACGTTTCCTCAACTGTGTATGGTATTTATTTTAAATGCTTTTATTACGATTCTTAGTGGGCTTCTTAAACTTATTTTGGCGTGGCTTTTTCTGTCTTATTACTCATAGCAGCAAGTAAACATCACGTAAAACGTTGCCTCGTGATTTCTGCATGCTGCTGTTTACGTGTCTCATGATCACAGCAATTAACCGGCTAAGCTGTATTTAATTTTTAAGCAATGGTTGATCAATTGTCAGATCACACATAAAAAGCACTTTGGATTGCTATTATCTGTCTCACCAAGACAGATCCTGAGACGCTCCTGCCTGACATTATTATTTTATTCATGGAAAAAAATCA